ATAGTAAGTAACAAGAAATTAATTGGGGCTCCATGAAGCTTCACATTTTATACTGGTTGAGGATAAATACTGGCTTTTGAAATAAAGTCCAAGCCTCTTAATTTGCTATTGTTGAGAAACACGGATAAAAGTAATAACATTATGGACTTAATTTTGCCCTGGCATTAATTAGAATGATTTGTCTGCCTCAAGTACTTGATTTTGCTGACATAAATGTATTGCTTTTTTTTTTTTTTTTTTTAGTAAGCACAAGAACAATAGTTGCAGAATTTTCTCCTAGAGGGCCAAGGGGAAGCCTTGAAGATTATGGATCTTGAGTATGTGTGGTGGTGATGGTAATACTGATAGGAGGTGCAGCTTCAACTGATCTTATCAATCCCACAGGTTACCTTTTAGGAGCTCTGCATGATTTTGTTCTTCATGTTTGCATTTCCACCTTCTGCCAGTGACCTCAGAGCAGCACAGAAAACAGCTCATATTAACCTCACAATAACCCTGTGAGGTGGATTACATAGGAAGAAGGACTTGTCCAAGGCTGATTAGTAATCCCCAAGGCAGATATCTCTAGGCACATGAAGGACTTGGAAGCAGCTGGAGCTTGTCCTGTTGTCTTAAAATCCATTATCCCACTCATCTGACGTAAGCAACGCCTCCACCACCACCAATCGTACGTAGGAAACTGCTAGCAACCTTTCTAAAAACCTTCACAGGAGTATTGTTTTTCCTTGGCAGAAATTGCCAAGTAGCCAAGGCCAACTTACCTCAGTTCATAAACCCTGCTGGCTTGGCTTAGTTGTGATGGCAGACTTTTAATATTGTTACACTGCCCATAGAGGAACCAATACTAACTATGGTTGGCAATTCAAACTATGTTTAGGAAAATGGGAGAAATTGTATCCATAGCTTAGTTGTCATGTTGCTCAGAGATACTTTAAGAAATTTATCATAATGGGGACCAGAATAACCCTTGAGAATGAGCCCTTCCAGGAACTGGAGGCCATGTGGTCGCCAAAAATATCAGATACAGTTGGATTTGATTCTCAGGTCCTTTCTTCCCTAGGTCCTACAATTAACTGACCAGCACTTGGCATTTGTGGAAGCAAGATTGACATTTTACATCCTCTACAAGTGTTTTCCTGGCTCTCATCTGGGAAACTGTGAATTTTAGCCAATTCTCACACTGGTGAATGGTTGACAGTTAAAAAGGAAGAGAAAAAGCTCCTTCCATTACTATTGATTTTCTCAATGAATCCAAGGCACGGGTGTCAAACTCAATTGTGTCATATGACATATCGTGACATATCATAACTTTTTGCATTTGCAGAGCAAAAATATCACATACAGTTGGATTTGATTCTCAGGTGGGTGTGGTCTTCGCATGACACATCCGGCCCATGGGCCATCAGTTTGACACCCCTGATCCAAGGGGAACTTCATATACAGAGGAATGGTGTGGTGGCTATACAATTAAGATGCTGGGCTTGTTGACTGGAAAGCCGTCAGCCCAAGTTCAAAATCTGAGACCATGTGACTGGGTGAGCTCTCGTTCACGCCCTAGTTCCTGCCAATCTAGCAGTTTGAAAGCATGCAAACGCAAGTAAATAGTTACCACTTTAGTGGGAAGATAACAGTGCTCTGTGATGTCATGTTGGCCACATGACCACAGGAATGTCTTTGGACAGCGCTGGCACAATGGCTTTAAAATGGAGATGAGCACCTCCCTTTATAGTCAGCACTGACTAGCAGAATAAATCTGCAGGGATTCCTTTACTTTCATCTCATATACTAAATAAAAGTTATGTGGAGGTAATGCTAAAATTATTGTATGAAGTTTATGAATCCAGTGTATGTGTGGGAATATGGCAGATAATCTCCTATTGAAGTAGGGGGAACAGGATTTCCCACAATGCTTTAAGTAGCCTTTCCCAATTTGGTGTCCCTCAATTCCCCCTGAAGCTTTCAGCTAGCCTTGATTCCAATCCCACTGGGTCCTTGAAGCTCACTTTGGTATCAAGGACACCATATTCAGCAATCCAGGTGGAAAGCAATTAAGGCAGAAAGAGATTTCTTACCTAGCAACACCTGGTGTAGTTCAGAGTAGCAACCTTGGAGAAGACGCAAAAAGCCATGGTGGATGGAAAATATGATGCTATTGCCAAACAGGACTTAGGAGAAGACAATTATCATGGGAATGGGAGCAACAAATTATGAGCCCCATATAGTTGTTTAGATACCAATTTGTGGCTCTTAGAGCCCTCTTCCTGTGTACTGTGGGCAGATACAAATTTCTCTTTTTCTTTTAATTCATAAGAAATTTAAAGGGCAAAATGATGCTTCAAACTCAGAAAAACTGTCTGCTTTGTTCCTTTCAGTGATGTCACATCACTGATCATGGACTCAAACCAGGGCTTAAAGTACAGTCTATAAGCAGAATGAATTAAAAGTCATGAAGCTTTAATTCAGGGGTCGCCAACCTTTTTGACTTCAGGGACCACCAAACTCATAATTTTAAATCCCATGAACCAGAGACCCTGGGAAAATCCCCTAAAAAGTCTGCAGGAAAATTCCCCATTCTGTTTTCCTACCGATCGATCATTCTTTATTTGGGATCGCAGGCTACCATCTCCAGCTCCGTTCTCAGGGGGAGAGAGAGAGAGAAAGAGACTTTTGGCTTCATGCAAGGAAAGCAGCAGAAGCAGCAGAAGCAGCAGAAGTCTTTCTCTCCCCTAAACTCTGCCAGAAATGAGTCTTTGCCAGTGCAGCCTCTTGGAGCAGGATGCCTTGTAGGGTCCCAAAGACTCATTTCTGGTGGAGTTTGGGGGAGAGAAAGAAAGACTTTTGCTGCTTTCCTTGTATGCAACCAAAAGCAGAAGAAGAAAGAAGCTGAAAGAAGCAGCCTGGTGGCCAGGCGAGGTGTGTGGGGTGAGTGGGGCAAGTTCCCCCCCCTGCCCTTTCCCCCCTCTCCTCAATACCTTGTGTTGTTCACAATGCAAGTGACGCAAGCCTTGTGTTCCCGCAGGCCATATGGGTGATGCAGTCTTGTGTTCCTGCACAGCCGGGATTAATTGCTTTGTGGGGTGCTTTGGGGGTGACATTTCTCTGTAGACCACCAAAATTTTCTCATGGACCACCAGTGGCCCCCAGCCCACTGGTTGGCGCCCACTGCTTTAATTCACCAAACTCAGTAAAAACAGTCTGCTGTGTCTAATTTCCTCCTAGAACATGCACTCACCAACCTAAGCATTTATTACATCAAGAGCAGATGAAGTCAAAAACTAGTGTCAAACACCTTTCCTTCCCCAGTATGAGCAATTTACTCTTATTCCTTCACCTAGCATCATCATTCAAAACAGAATGCAAAATTTTCAACAACAAAATACTATTATTACTACTACTACTACTATTGTTATCATTATTACCATCTATTACCATCATTATTATTATTTCTTTTATTCATTAAAGATGAAAGTCAACTAAACATTTAAAAATCTATCGCAAATATTATTGATGGCACTGATGGTTGATACGGGTTGCTGCCACCATCCTATTATTATTATTGTTGTGGTTGTTGCTGTTATTGTTGTTATTATTATTATCATCATCATTATCAATAATAATGTTAATAATAATTTGTACATATCATCTTTCCACTAACAAAGGATTCAGGGTTCCCAGTGCATTCCTCATTCTAAGACTACCTTATGCTTGAAATTCATTGACCTTATTACAATATATACTCTGATCCTCATGTTCTAACTATCCCTGATACCAATTCTTTTATGCTATTATTATATTACCTGAAACTGATTATACTATCTGAGACTTCTCAGAAAACAACAACTGAATGAAAAACTGCTGGTGACCCTCTACCGCTGCACCATGGAGAGCATTTTAACATACTGCACCTCTGTATGGTTTGCCAATTGCACAGTGGTAGATAGGAAAGCACTCCAGAGGGTTTATGTCATTGCCCAGAGGATCATTGGTTGCCCTCTCCCCTCTTTGGAAGAGCTTTATAGCCACCGCTGCCTCAAGAAAGTTCAAAGCATTCTCAAAGATCCATCTCATCCTGGGAAGCCTTTTTTGAACTATTACCATCTGGCAGACGGTACAGAATAATAAAAACAAGGACAAATAGGCTGAAAAACAGCTTCTATCCCAGGGCAGTAGCTCTTTTGAATTCTGCTGTATAGTGCAGTGTTGGTGTAGTGTCGGGGATTTTTGGTTCAATGTGTGAAGGGTGAAGGATGTGTGTTTGTGTTTATTTTCATGGTCATGGTCATGATGTGCACTGAAGATGGTGTTTGATTTCATTGTATGAGGTGGAATGACAATAAAACTAAACTAAACTAAACTAAACTAAACTAAACTAAACTAGATTCCTGCTCTTAAAACTTGGGTTCTGTCTAATCTTCGCAGTATCAAATGAATACTTCCCAAAAGAAATCCTATTTAGAAAAGCTATTGTGATCTGACTGTAAATTAGCAAAAAGCACAGAAAACACTCCCCCCCACCCCAATTGGTGATTTTGCAGCTTAGATGAGGTAGCCCTACTGTAATATAGTATCTAGGTTGTTGCTTCTGCGGCCCATAGCAGATTAGGAAGCTTAGTTTTCTCCATCCATAATTATGAATGTGAGCTTGGCTCAGTGTCTTTCAACTATATCCATTTCAGTGTTGATACAAAGATGGAAAAGTAAATAGGGTGGAGTGAGAAAGTCCAGCAGGCTGGGCAACTTTCTGATTAAATGATGATACATCAATAGACAGACTTGAAACATCAATTGAAATGAAATTAGTTAAGTATTGGCTTAACCAATATTTCCAAAGAGTACTGTGATTATGCTGTTAAAATCCTTTGTTGTTGCATCCTGGTTATTAATTAGATTTTTGCCCTTGAGTCTTTTTTATCAGCTGCGTGGTGGGAGGGGGGAAAGCCTTATAAAAATGCAAGAGAGCGGCAGATACATTACAATTAGAGGACAACCCTGGAGACGCTATGAAGTTAATGCAGGTATGTACAAATGAGGAGGCAGATAGCTGGGTCAGCGATAGCTCTTGCACATTAACATGATCTACTGAGGTTGCCGATCAAGGTATGTTGCTTTCGCATAATAGGACATTGCAACGAAGGTAAATTGTTGGCTAACAGAAGCTTCTCAGTGGCTAGGAATTACCTAAGTGAAGAGTTGGTGGGTTCACTTTGATCAGAGTCTAGGCAACCCATTGTTGGGGATACTGTAAATACAAAAGTCTTCACCAACAGAGTGAGGTTGAACAATTCTTTTCAACTTTCCAACAAGTCTATGTTTGCTTTTTCCAACTGACTTCCCTCAGGATGAGCTGGACATATCTAAAGTAGCCATGCAGGCTAGGAATTCTGAAGTTGTGATAAACACCATCAACATTGGGGAAAGGCTGCTCTCTATATTTTGGTCAAAAGAAATATTCTGTGATGCTTCACTAGGCACTGTTTAGCAAGCATGGACTGGGTATATGAGCTCTTTTGAGGAAACACCTACTTGAACTATTGACAAACAGTTCTTTTTCAAAGGTTTCCACGTCTTGTTTTTCCAGAAAAAAAGTATATTTTATGTTAAATATTTAGATTCCTGTATATTAGTTCAATTATGTCGTATTGAAAATCAAATAATAGATAACAGAAAGACTAGTTCAAGGGCACCCAATTCCCTCATAAATAGTAGGCTGCAGCTCCCCCCTCCATTTTTTTTCCTGATGCTCTCTCCTTGGTATAGGTATAGAAATACAATCCTGGCACTTTTGTTCATTTATTAAATAATTTTGCTAGTATTTTAAAAAATTTAAAAAATTTAGCACCCAAGTATTTTTCAGGCATACCAGTGACAGTGGTAAAAAAGATCAGGATCTGTTGCCAGAGGTTTGGGCAATGAGCAGTGATCTGAAACCTGGAAATAATTACTATGAATAGTTAAAGAGAAATCAGTACCAATATTTTCATATCTAACTTAGATGCTAAATTTAGGAGGATCTATGAATGAACTTTAGTGTGAAAAGCTTGTGATCTGTGCAGTTCAATATTTGTGCTGACAACAAACTCTTGGGCTCAAAATGTGCTCAGAGATATTCTGTCTTTTATGTTTGTCTCTTATGACTGTAACTCTTAAACAATAGTAATAAAAGGCAGATCCAGCAGACCCAGACTACCTATTGAAGCTATAATTTATTAAATATGCATGCTGCCCAACAGTATCAGTCCCATTTGCACAACATTTCTTAGAGATCATGCTATAGCCTTATGTTCTGAAACTGATGCCAAAGCTATGAAATCTTTCTCATTTCTTCCCACTTTTACATCCAGGCAAAGAATCCGTTGCTAGCAACACTCTTGTTCCTGACTGCCACTCACTGTGCCATTCACCAAAGTGGTGTGACCAGCGGCAACCAAGCTTGCCACTCTATCAATGTTACGATTTCAGCCGAGAAGGACGATTGCCCTGTCTGCATGGCCATCACCACTTCCATCTGTAGTGGTTACTGTAAGACCAAGGTGGGTATATGAGAGAGGAATCACCAACCAATCACCCTTGAGAAGTGTTAGGACAACATTCCTTGCCCCAAGCTAGCACAGATAGATACTATAATGCCTGGTGTGGGCTAATGTGCCTAGAAGGCACCTAGATGAGAAAGTTACCTTCTATCCCAGCACCCTTTTAAGACTCAATGCAATGACTTGAAAAAAAAACAACTGTATTTAATCATAGCTACACATTTCCCTAAATGGGGGCTTTATACTGTTTGTTTCCTGCAGTCAGAGACATAATGGGCAGATAAGATAAAGCTGCCAGGAGAGGGAATTTGTCCTTGGTTTCCAGCTGATAGTTTCCCCCTTGATGACTTTTGGAGAGAATTCTAAAATCTTGTAGATGTAGATTATGTTTATGGGAATTATTACTTTGTGGTTAATTTGACAAAATGTCTTGTAGGGGATGCTCTGAAAGTTATCTGCAATTGATGGGCAGAGGAATCCTGTGTTCTGTGTACCTAAGCATTAGCCCAGAAAGGGGGTTAGGAGGCGTTTGCTTTGCAGCTATCCACTCTTTAGTCTCCTAATCATTTGGGGCCTTAACATTAAGGATATTGTAACCTTCATAAAATAGGGCCAGTTACTTGACTTGGGGCACTGCTCTTCACTTGCTTGGTTACTACTAGGGGAAAAAATACAGATGCCCCTGAAAAATGTATTTCCTGTTATATATATTACAGCCTAGCAGGCTTTGCTTTCCATTCTGGAAGAACGGGAAACTTCTTCCTATCTAGCATGTTTGTGCAGCCTTAATTTCCCAGACATGTCACTTGAAGTGCATTAGTTCTTCATTATTTGCTTTTATCTGACCACTTTGCTGCTCAGTTTGCCATTACATCTTCCTACTACTCACTACAAAGGCAGTGAATGTCCAAACCAATACCCCAGCTTTGATAGCATTGAGAAGGGACCTCTGGAGGTTGCTGGTAGCAGTATGTGTGGAATAGTAGCAAGCGATACACACTCAAATAGGCAGGAAAGAGAAATTAGGCCAACACTAAGCAGAAGGGTGGCATCTGTGACATTTTGGATGCTGCCCCATGAAAGAGTAAGAAAGAAAGGCTGTCATGTCTAACCACTCTCTCTATGTCTTTTACAGGAATTGCTGTGGAAGCCTCTCTTCCCCACCTTTAACCAAAAGGTCTGCATTTACAAAGAAGTGCAATATGAGACTATACTTCTGCAAGGCTGTCCCCCAGATGTTGATCCGTCTTTCACCTACCCTGTAGCTCTCAGTTGTCACTGTGACCTGTGTGACATGGATTCCAGTGACTGTACTGTTAAGGGCATTGGGCCTGATTCCTGCAGCAACCAAAATCGCATTGCCTGATAAATAAGGGTGACTAATAAATGCCGTGCTAGGCCAACAATAGTGCATATACTTGTAGCGGTGCTTTATTGAATGTAACTCTGACATCCTTTATTCCAGTCCTTGCATGCTCACTCTATCCCCTTTTCTGTCTAAAGGACCATATATTACAAGAACCCACCCTGATTATACTCTTATACTCTTTCTGCTTCTGAGAACAGTGTGAACTCTAAAATGAACTCTAAAAATCTTAGATTTTTTTTACTTCTGCCCTAAGAAAACCTATGTTTTAGAAAGCAAAGCCAAACTGTTATGCATTTGGAAGGCTAATTTGAATACAATATATATGAGCTGCTATAATTTGGCAGTTGTAAACCAGAAGAAGGGTTGCTGTGGGGATTTATAAGGAAGCAAGCAATTAGGGTTCCAATCAGGGTTTGAACTTCTGATTGCTGAGAATGGAGGTGCAGTCCAGCACATCTCAAATGTGAGAGGTTGAAGAAAAGAAACCCCTCCATGCCTTTTTACCCCTTGTCCATCTATTAAAGTGGCCCCTTCTCCTTTGAAAGACTTTAGATCATTCAATATATGCTCTTTGAGAGATATGGGATCTTGGGCCAGAATTTCACAACATACCTCACAATAGGATCATTTTTACTTTCCCTCTCCTTGCATTCAATTATCTCACCATACCAAAATTAAGTGAAAACCCACTAGGGAACTTGGGAGGCTGGACTGAACTCTTAGTGTGCCCTAAACACAGAAGAACTGGGTGATATTCCTAAAATTGCAGCAGATGGGAGTGAGAAACAGAATTAATCTCAGGAAAGGTCAACTTGAATGAAAATGTGTAATATTTTTTAATAGAGAGGAACAAAAAAAATACAAATGAGAAAAAAAGAATATTCTCCAGAAAGGAAGCATCTTCCCAGTTTACAGAGATGATTTCAGCACTGGGTGACATTGGAGAAGTATCCTCCTCTGTCCTCAGATGAGGTCTCTGAGGATGTCATCCTCCATGATGCTGGGGGCAGGAACCTGCTGCAGGCCTGGTTGAGAAACAGGCCCTCGGGGACCAGCGTTCATTAGCATTTGACCTGGGGGTAAGAAGGGACAACACCAGGAGGCTTTAGAACAGCAGTGAAGAAGAATATCTTGTTACAGGATTAGCTATAGTGGTCTACTTAATTTCCATTTAACATCCACTGGGGCATTTTGAACAAATGCTTGACCTAGAAAAGAAGCCTAATAAAAGATTTGGCCCTTCACTTCTCTTCCTTCCCAGAAATAGCTAATACAGTATATTGTTCCCATTAGTTAATGAATCCCTCTTAGGATAGCCAGAACTAGCATAATCACAGCTCTTACCTCACTATACATTACTGTATTTCACATCTGTTGCCCATGTTCTACAAATAATAACCTGCTCAACCAGTTACTGACATATACTCCTCTCAAATCTACCTCCTCCAACTCTGCAAATGAATGTGCCTTGATGAAAGAAATAGGCCCTTTCTCCAAAAGCAAAAATCCTACCCAACTCTCAGATGCAGTTGTTTCTGGGTTGGGAGTAGCAGCAATAGTTTTTTTGTCAACTCAGACCAAGTCCACTCATACCTTGCAATTGTGGCCGTGGTGCCATCTGGGCTGGCCACTGCTGCCCAGGAGCTTGGTGCATGAGAGGCTGTCCAGGAAGCTGAAGCTGTTGCTGTCCAGGAGGCTGATGACCAAGAGTCTGCCCCATGGGCTGGTGTGGTAACATTCCTGAGGACCCTTGCTGTAGGTGGTGAAGGGGCTGCTGGGATTGAGGGACTCCAGCTTGGGGCTGCATATGAAAGAGGAGGAAGCATGTAATTCTTTTCGGACTATTACAAGTGCCAGCAAAGCTAAGCTAAGCAATGCAGCCACTTCTCTTTGCTCTTAGAAGCAAAGGAGATGCGGTAGTGGACTGCTCTAACATTTCAGTAGACTTCTTCAATTATAAAAAAATGTGAAAAAATGGTGTGTGTGGTGGTGGTGGGGAACCCTTGCGGATAGCAAAAGATAGCACTCACCGGTTGTTGACTCAAAAGAAGGCTTCGGAGCTGAGGGTTGGCTCCTGGATTTTGGGGCCGAAGCATGGCCCCTCCTTGGGTGGCCTGTGGCCCAGCCTGGGGGGGACCCTGTGCTTGTGGAGGTTGGTTGGTAGGTGGGGCAGCTGGCTGAGGTTGCTGTACTCGGAGCTGCAACTATGAAAAGGAGAAGAAATATTTCATTGCTTGCAAGAATGTACACAGCAATTGATATATTTTCCATAAATCTGAAGACCCATGCAAAGGTGTTGCAGGTAACCACCAATAAACATGGGGCTAGTGCCAAAAAGAATGTGACTTTTTGACAGGGATTTGCTGCTCTCACTCAGAAGTCCTTCAGCTGCTCGAGTGCAGCTGAAGGACTTCTGCAATGACCACATAATATAAAGATACAAAGAGACCTTGCCTGAAGGCAAGTTAAATGGGGAAAAGTCCTTTTAAGCCAAAGTAATATTTAGGAGAAAATGAACCATAATAGGAACATATTTGTGTTCTTCATCATTAGAATGAAAAAATAATGAGAGCTTATATATGGAAAGCTAGGCAAGCATTGGGCGACTCCAACCAAAATGCTGTTTCTGGTATATGTCATGCTGAAGGCCACCTTGCTAATTAGTATAGTGAAAAATACATTAAATTTGTTTAATAGTTAAATGACATTCTTTTTTAAATAACATCTTTTCCACTTATCATCTTAACTTTAGTTTTGTTGGCAATATCTGGCAGGGTATGGGAAGCTATGTGCAAAGTCCCAGTTATGAAATGAGACTGCTGAATTAACCCAAAGATAAATTTGCTTAGCCTTTTTCCATCCAGAGTACCATCTTATAGGACCGAATAAGTAGAGCTGCAAGAAAAGAATGATTCCAAGATGGGATGAATCTACTTTAAAAAAATACAGCAGCTCCCACTTCCACAAGGGACTCACCAAACCCTGTTGCCGTTCTTCCATGATTCCCACTTGAGGCATACTGGGGCTCACCTGTTGCCCACCCATCTGTAAAAAGATAAAGGGAAGTGCACATCCAACAAGGAGTGGTCAGTGAAGCAAAAAGATAGGTAATACAGTTCTAAGCCTGGACATGCTGCCAAGAGATAGATAGCTCTCTTTTGCCTTGTGTGGCTGCTGCCTGAAGACAGTTAGAGCAAAATCTACTCTGCCTCATGCCTTACCTGCTGCTGGACTCCTGGAGTTACTGGCAAAGTGCCAGGCTGCTTTGCCAGGAAGGGCTGTGTGTTGGGTGTGGACCCCATGGGTTGAGAACCCCCCATCTGCTATAGAGAGAGATGAAGAAGAAACAAATTAGAGCCTTTTGAAGTCCAAAATATTCTGAGTGTACTCCCATACAGAAGCACAAATACAACATTTTGCACAAATACAAAAAATGTTGGTTCAGGAGTTAAAGCTAAAGATGCAATATGCTTAGAAATGGCACAGCTCTAATTGATCACAAAGCAAAAAATACTGCAAGAAATATATTCAATGAGACCTGGAGCTATTTACAATACAATCTGAGGTAATTTTTCAACACACTCAGAAGTAATTTTCAGGTAGCTCTAGAATTCAACAGATTCAGTCTGCTGAAAAGCTTGAACCTAGAGCTGAGGGGGAAATAAGAAGAAGAGGATCAGCTACTGACCTTTTGCTGCTGAACTTGTTTATGGTTAGTGATGACTTGACGGATCCCGTTGACAAAACCACTCTGGTCATAAGGAATGAGCCCCATGAAGATTTTCTTCTTGGAGGAGTAGAGCAGCATCAGCACTCGCACCTCACAAGGTGTTGTGTGAGGGAAGTGGACACAGCCAGCCTGCTCATGTAACAAGAAAAGGGAAGGATGCTGAGAAATATCCTTCCAAGGTGAAATCTTTTGCCCCCTTGTTTTTTATATTTGTATGCTGTGTTGCTCTTTTCTCAGGAATCACAGTGTCATTTAATATCAGAAAAAAATATCAAAGTCAAGAAGAAATTTTAAAACTACATTGGCCAAAACTAAATGCATTAGGAAGAACAGAAGAACACAGATAATAGGTATACTAATGCAATTTATAAAACTGAGCTACTAATGCACCTCCAAAATCAGGAACCTCTATAATAATGTCACCGAAACTGAGATGGTCCTCACTAATCATCCCATTTCTTCAACACTACCATCAAAGGATCACTTCTAGCAATCTTCAGAGAATAAGAAGCCCCACTGATGTGTCATTAAGATCATGATTTACCAGTTACAATTATAGGATTTCTACTATCATAAGCAAGTGAACTCAATTCTAGGATTTATAACGTTCCAGGCAAGTAACTTCACCAACATGCTCAGACATTTCCCATTAAAATAACTTTCTGTGGCTACCATAAAAAAGTGTCAGTAATATTAGAAATTTTATGTACTGGAGTACCAGAATATACAGTTATATGTATCTTGATACTTTTGACTATTGTATCAGTTTACTCATCAGGCAACTTTCCAAACAGGAAAGAAAACAGACTGCCTTAACCATCATGACCAAGCCTCAACTGGAAGCTTCTACTTCAATTTAGTTGAATCTCTTTTAACCATGCCCACATCCTAGCAATTGTAGAATCTTACAAATCCATTGCCCATGATGCGATAGAGCCCCTTGAGGGATTCCAAGTCCTTATTGGTGAAATGGAACTGCACCATGCGAGAATTGCGGAACAGGTGACCCAGAGTTGTCTGTGAAGAAGGAATGGATTAATTCAGTTGGAAACAAATCTGTGTATACTCCAAGCCATGCTAATTTGTCAATACTTTCAAAAAAGATAAATTTCTGGGAAATCCAATGATGCTAAAAGCAAAGCTGAAGGACAATAGCTATCCTGTAAATACTAATTCTATAAATCTAAAAATCTAAGAATAGCTAATAATACAAGAGATTTCAAAATAGGCAGGGAAGAAGTTTCAGACACCTCCATCAATTTAACCTTATACCCTTTTTTTTCCCCTTCACGTGTCAGTACATAAGACTTTCAGAAGAAAAGCTTGCCCACCCACAGCGTGGCATCTGTCATGCCCATAGAAGCAGACCATCTTTCACTGTTTAATCCTTCTAAAAATTGTTCAGCATGACAAGGCTGTTCCCGTACCATTGTTACAACTAAGATCACCATAACAACAAGACTGGCAAGCCCAATAAAAGGCATAAATCAGATTTGCCAACCCCAGCCTCAATATTGCAACTCCAGAATTTCCATAAATCTTAAGGACTGGCCTCTTTACCCAAATGCCCCTCAGGTCATCTGCATGTTTCTTTGCTGCCCTTAATAATGAAGAAAAATACATTAGAATAAAGACTGGTTGGATAAGGGTAAGATTTTAATTTCATCCAGCAAACCCTGCAGGGCAGATAAAGAGAGATTGGAAGAAGGTTAATTTAGACCAGTGTTTCTCAACTTTGGCAACTTTAAGATATGCAGATTTCAACTCCTGGAATTCCTGTTAGCATAGTTGACTAGGGAATTCTGGGAATTGAAGGCTGCATATCTTAAAAGTTGCTAAGGTTGAGAAACACCGATTTAGACCTTGCTTCCACACTGATCCCTGTAGATGAGTGTGTACAGATCAAAGTTCTAACCGGTGCCACTATATTTATCTGGGCAACTCTTAAAAGATTTTGGCAGTATCAGGGTGCCATTCATTCTGCAAAATGTTGCCCATCCCTGTGAAGTGTTAGTTCACAATCTGCCTTCAAAAATCACATACATTTCACTTACCAAGAGCTGTTGGGGAATTAACTGCATAATGAGTTTCTGGGGCCACTGCTCAGCCTTCCTACAACAGAGCAAGGAGAGTCAGCTGTGCTTTTCCCATCCCAGCTCTGCTTAAAATAATTGTTATCATTTAACACATATAAATAACTGAAAATGCAATTCTCCAAATGTTAATGTAACTTGGAGGACAATGTGCTTAAGAGCTGAGGAATGACGATTGTGTCGTAGTGAAAAGAGATTCACGTAAATGAAGAAATTGAACAGAGTATCATGGAAAAGGACAGAACTGACTGAAATACTGATGACACTGAATACTGCAACCATTTTGTTACGTATCTCACTTGTTTCATCTACTTTAATCACCGCCTATTAAAACATTCAAAACTATGTATGGTTAAAATAATTTGCACACATTTGTAAGCAATTAAAAACTAAAGTACAACAGCAGGTAGTATGTACACTATGTATTTACCATATAGTATTTAAGTCTTTAGCTCAATCGTAGCAACTTTTAAGATGAGTCGACGTCAGTTCCCAAAATTCCTCAACTAGCACGGGACTTAAAGCCTGGTTTAAAACACTGACCTAAAGATTCCTGGTAGGAAATCAGCATCCCATCATGTTTTAATCTGCGACATAGTCAGCAGGGTCTTCAGGGGAGGAGGGTTCACATTTATAATCACCACAAAGGTTCTATTCCAGATTAATGGTAAGTAAGACTTCTGGTTTTTTTAAGAGGGGGGAGAACTTGTTTCAGCAATTCCCAACTTTTGAAAGTTAGTTCCACTCTTTTTGTTAGTTCCGTTCAGACTCTGTAGTCACAAAAGAGCTTATAAATTAGAATAGTCTATGGGTGGAAGAAAACTGCCCATCATTAAAATAGACGATGGCAATGTATTAGAATTGACTACTTCCTACTCATTGCACCTCTGACATATTTTTCAGTCTTCTTCCATCATAAATCCTCCAAAATTCAGCTTGTTTCTATCAGTATCAGGACACCAGTTTTGAGTTCATCTCCCTGCTCTCAAATAATCAACTAAGTGTCTTTTTTTTCTGTTAAATGAACCAGAGGCACTCACAGGTTCTCTCCTTGATTGACATACACCTGGCAAGGCAGGGAACGTGTGAGTTTGGTATTGGAATCCACAGAAGTTGGCTTCGGCTTCTAGGAAAAGAGGATGGGATACATGGTCAAAATGCATCAGGATAAGGAGCTCCTATGAATCTTTCTTCTTTCCCTTCCACAATTCAGCTCTCACCTCCTGCCATTCCAGCACCCCACTCCATGCCATCACTTTGTTTGGGATAGATTGCTGGGGTGCTCCAATTTGTGCCTGTGTCGGCTGAGTCACATTCATACTGTTGGGAGGCATGCCACTAGTCTGGATAGAGAAAGAAGAGATGCACAAAAAGTCAGTTGGCAAGCCAGTCACATCCTGATGGGAAAAAAAAATATGATACGATTTGTGCGAATGTCTGCATCCCACTGCCAAAGCTATCATATGTACCATGGCTGAGGCACCAGATTGTGGGGAAGCTTGCACAGGTGGCTGAACCAGCAGGCCGGAGCCTGTGGTTACTGTGGAGACCAGACTAGACTGAGATGAGGCAGGGAGCTTTTGAGTCAGAGCTGGAACAGAGCCTGTCGGAAGGGTCTGCGTAGGAGCTTGACTGAAAGCTGGTTGCATGGTATTCAAGGAAGGGACTGTTCAGAAGAAAGAAAGAAAAAACATGGATGTATAAACCCACAACCCATAATCATCACCCCTTCGGATACATTTTTATCCTCTGTTCTAATATCCTCCCCACATCCAAGCCTAAACTTTGAAGCACTGCTTTTAGCCCCAATTCTGGGAGACACACAGGGACTCACAGCGGGTGCCTAGGCCGGTCTTTTGGTTCTTGGCGGCTTCCACAGCAGACTGAGCAGCTGCCTGGGCTGCAGTGAGAGTAGTGGGTTGTGTAACCTAAACCAGAAAGAAGCAATCAGGAGATTTTTGAAAGGAAAGGCCCCAACCCATTTGTTACTCGAGGGCAAAAAATGTACCTGATATGGTTGAGAAACTTGGGGCAGAACCTGTGGTTGTGCCGGAGGGAGTGGAGGAGGAACTGGGGGAGGCTGGGATACTGGTTGTTTGGGCTGCAGGTTGTTATTGGTTGCTCCTGCTCCTCCTACTGCATGCAGAGAAGAGAAGTTGACATTAAGTATAGACAATAAATTATATACAGGGTTTGCAAGAGATATTATTCATCATCACAAGGGATACATTCCACACCAATTTACATCTTGTTCATATACATGCACAAATACAAGCATGCGAAGCGGATGAAAATCCACAAACCTTATTTCCATCCTGCTCCCCCACATTATGGAACATTCCATCCTCTGTGGTTCAGGAAGCCTAAGCTGCCAGGGAACCTATTGACTATTTAATCTTGAGCAGGGGGTTGGACAGAAGACCTCCAAGGTCCCTTCCAACTTTGTTATGCTATTATCCATTCCTTCATTTATAAAACTTATTGGCCGCCCATCTTACCATAGGGTGACTCTGGGTGGCTTACAGTTACATCTAAGCTAAAACATAAAAAGTTAAAATCAAACATTAAAACCAAAGACACATGGGGAGGGCGGAGGTGAAGAGGGGGAAAGGTGAAATCTGTTATTACTCAACCACCTACCTCCATTTCGCTGATCTGCCACTGGGGCCCCAATCCCACTGGCAGAGCCACGTCTTTAAGCTCTTACGAAAAGATAGGAGGGTTGGGGCCGATAGGAGGGTTGGGATCGCGTTGGGGGGGGGGGGGGGGAGATGGTCCAGAGGGCAGGAGCCACAACATAGAAGGCCCTCATCCTGGACCCCGCCAACTGGAAGAACCGGGCTGACGGGACCGGCGGCATGCCTCCTCTATTATTTTACTCCATTAAACATTTGGCATATTGGAACTGTCTTCTTCCCATTACATCACTTTGCCTCACCCAATTAGGCAGGGAAGGTATGTGGCAGCCAAAGTATTCCAATTGGTGGGATCCAGGAGAACAGCCTTCTCTACTGTTGCTCTTGCCCTGTGGAACACTGTCCTTTCTGAAGATGAGGTGCAGCCAAAAGGCTGGCTAGTGTCATAAAAGCCCCCTTCCTTTTAATCAATTCTTAACATGCATTTAATTTTTTTCCTATGCTTTTAAGCTTTTAATATTTTATTGAACACAGCCCAGAATTCCTCTGTGAGGGAAATGTGGTTCTTAAATATGACAAACAAACAAGTATAGAAACAAATAATAAAAGTTACAGAATAACTTTTAAAAAAATAATTTGATCATAGATCATTGTTTTTACCAGGCTGGGTGATGCATTGGAACTTGGGAACTATTTTCATATTTTGACTCTCACCGTTATAATAAAATTGCTTACTCAAATGAATTTGCTATTTTGTATAAACAAAATAAAATAATCAAGTCCTAGCTGTACTTGTAATATATCCTGCAACCCTCCAGCTACCATCCCTCCACCAAAAATGCTAGTTCACTCTTGGCGCCAACAAGTTACCCATTCCAATGCAATCATTATAGCCATTAGAAACATACTAGCATACTAAACTTAAAAATGATTTAAAATGAAGAAAATGAGCAGGATATAGGATGCATCCAATTAGCTGAAATTGAAGCCGGCCTTGATCAGTATTACTTGTAATGATTTTACAATTTAATTAATTATTTCTAAAATGCTGTATTCCAAATTTTTATATAATTAGTTTTCTCCCTAGAAATCTAATCAGATAATTACAGGAACCGAATAAGCCTGTAATTAATTTCAAGTTGTAACAGGGAAAGAGTCAGGCAAGTCCAAGGACCAATATAAAATCTCACTGCTGCCTCTCCTCTCTTCCTTGCCCTTTGTGGGATACTAAACACCTTGTATTCCTCTTTTCATTCTTATCTAGGTTAAACTCGTAACAATCCAGTATGATCTATTCTAACCCCATCCGTATTTCCAAGACCAGCTCTTACCTGGAAGTATCATACCACGGATAAGGATCATGTGCCGGGGGTCCTGGCTGTAGTCTTTCAACTGAGTCTCCAACATGTTCCCTGTCACAGATTTCTCAAAGAGAATGCGCAAAGCTGGCAGTTTCCGTGGGGAGATAATAGAAAAGTGAATTCCCCGCTGGGGAAGAAAAAGAGAGTCACTAAAGAGAGAGATGAACCATACATTTCTTCCCTATTTAGTTTTGAGGTGGAGATTTCTGCAGACTCTCATTCCTAAACTGTGGACATTACTTCTAGTTACCAGTAGTCTTCTAGCATGTTGCAAAGTGACTCATAACTGCAGATAATGTGTAAAGACATTATTGTATCATCTTTGTTAAAACTTAATTGATCTGCTTAATTCCCAGATTAGTAGACTACCATCTGGAAAGCAACATTGGTAGAACATTGGTAGAAAGACAAACTACATGTACAGTACAAAAATCTGCTACATCCCCAACCTGGATAGCCTCCAGATTTTTGAAATAAATTTCAAATTTCCCCAATGCCATAGGGTTGGCAAACTCAAGAAACAAGAATTACACATATTTTGGATAGCCATCTGGTCAGGATAAAAACATAATCTTGAAAGAAATAACTGAAGCAAACCAGTTAAGTGGAAATGTTTCTTTTAAATGTTTCTTTTTAAAACTCTGCATTGTGCTGTTTCTCCCACTTGCTGAATTTCTTGTACTCGTGCCTAATCCTCAGTCTCTCACACCCAACCAACAAGGCCATGGATAGCAACTATGGAATTTGAAGCCCACAGCCTGGCATGTGCCCAGTTTAGGTAAACTGAAGAAAAACATCTAACCATCTATTCCTTCCCATTTTCTTCCTTTAGCTTTCCTCCTTAGCCATAGCTATTTCATAAAACTTTATAAGATTATTTCAAATGTTTTCTCACTTGGGTGCTTGCCATTTTTAATTGCAAAGTAAATGTTAAGCATCTTTCTAACAATGTTGGAGGCTGTATTAGTTAGATTTGTCATCAGATGTATAACATTTAACTTGGGTCTGTAGGAGAAGAACTAGACTTGGCTTTAATGACAAAGTATAAATACAGTGAAGAGTATAAAATATTTGTTTAAGGAAACATTCACAATGGAAAATGCAAGTATCCAATGTATTTAAAAAACTTCACAACAAGAGATAAAATGAAACCTAGAAGCTGTACATATTGAGTTAATTTGTATCATTATTAAAAATATGCTCTCAATTGAGGATATATTATTTTAGCAATAATTCATTTACTTTCCTCCCTGGGAATACTAGATTCCTTATTAAGAGACAAAAGGAGAGCTACTGAGGCCACCATAAGATACTGCAGACAATCCCCTGTAAGAGATCAGTTCAGAAATCTGCTAAGAGAATACCTGTTGTTTTCTCACAACCTGAGGCATGAAAGAGCAAAGGCCTCAGAGGATTGATATCCCTGATTACATTAGGCCGCTCTTCGCCACCAGCCATATGGCATTCCACCATAACACTCTTTCAGCATAAAAACGCTCTGAGATCTCCATTTTCCTCCAGGCCACAATGTGTTGATATTTGAGAAGGCTCAGAGCAGGGGTCCCCAACATGCAGAAACTGGTCCACGTAAACAAGCAAGGCCCCATCTGTATGACGCAGCAGCACACAAAACCACGCCTTCTCCAGTCCGTGGAAAAGCCTCTCTCCACAGAACCGGTTCCCGGTGCCCAAAAGGTTGGGGGCCACTAAGATAGAGGAATGGTTGGCAGCCTTAACATATCTTACCCAAATGAAATCAGCAATGGCTACCAAACATTTTCTACCCACCTCACCAATCTTTTGAACCAGATTTTCTGTTGTATAGCCTGAATATGTGGTACTCTCCACAGCTGGAAGCAGGTAGGGAGGTGAGTTGCAGATAAGGATGCAGACTTTATGTGTGGGGCCTCTATTTGGGAGAGAGCACAAAAAAGGACACAATGAATGAAAATTGGGGAATTACACATTCAGCACATGGTGCATTACTATAAGTAGTCCTTCAGTTATGGACACAATCAGGACCAGAATTTTCTTTGCTAAGCAATGTTGTTGTTAAGTGAGTCATGTCTGATATTGGCCTGGTTGCTAAACAAATCACTGCGATTGTCAAGTAAATTATGCAATCATTAAATAAATCTGGCTTTCCTTGTTAGCTTTGCTTATCAGAAGCCAGCTGGAAAGCTTGCAAATGGGGATCACATGATCAGGAAGCTGCAACTGTCATAATTACATGCTGGTTGCCAATTTTGATCACATGATAATGAGGAATCATAATAGTCATAAGTGCGAGGACCAGTTAAAAGTCACCTACTTTCAGTGTCACTGTAATTTTGGTTGCTAAATAAATAGCTGTAAGTCTAAGACTACCTGCACAAAGTAAGCTTTTGAAACATACCCCACCTGAGTGAGGGATTTAACAAACCAAGCATATTATTTTAGTGTGATTGTGGATGAAATGGAAATTATCTGCATAGGGGGTGGTTTTCATGTTTTAAATTCCACACTATTTGGATTTTACTGCTTCATAGCTCATAACAGTTTTAGCAAGGGAGCATTTAAACATGGAAAATGTAATATTCCTTTCACATGTCTCTGATCAAACTGGCAGTTGAATAAGCTGCTTTAATTTTTCTTTTAAGTGCTAATATACTGGATCACTGATTTCCTGTATCATAATTGTTTCAAGAGCTGTGTCAACTGTTTTATCAATCTACTTTCACGTCTTCGCTGCCCTATTGATTGTAAACAGATCAAATATTACAAATATTAGGGCTCCTTTTTTCGTGGATCGGCCCCTGAAACTATAAGCCCTTTGAAGAAATGGGAAGCCTGTAGCATTACTTTAAAAGAAAACAAATTTGCATGAGGAAAATTACAGCATAGGCAGAAGGACAATTCTTATGCCATAACCTCTCCTTTCTAGGCACTGCGTGATTTACTGAAGTAAATGTATCTAAAAGAGACAACAAAAATAAAAAAATAAAAATCATTTTATTGCATCTAATTCCTGATAGTGTAAAAAATTCCAGATGCATAAAAATTACAGAGTCACAAAATCAATTCCGACACGAGTCATGACCATTTGTGCTAATATTAAAAACAGATGGGCGCTCTCAAGCACATTCACTGAATGTACTTGTACACATTCTGTCTTTCGTTTCATCACCACCCACCCACCCGCTATGATCCCTTACATTTGCTCTCTCATCTTCTTGAAGTCATCAAAGAGTTGTAGGGCAGTACTGAGACCTTCTGAGATGAGGCTGCAGCTCTCACCACCACCACCCACAAACCTGGAAAGACAAAAAGGATACCAAAAGCTGAAGACCAAAGCCTTATTCAATTTAGCTCAATTCTTTGTGTGATGAACAAACAAACAAACAAACCAAAAGGCTATCTAAAACCAGTAGTATAGTTACATCCAAATCAGGAAACCATGATGAATGATTTTATATCCTGGTTTGTTTTTCAGGGATGAGTCCACAACTTTAATTCTTCTTTTGTGTATGTAAACCAACTTATAATAATCTGAACAAAACTATTTTTATGCTCTGGACAGAATTCTGGCCTAAACAAAGCTGCTATATTTGATTCAACATTTAATCCAGTTTTGTGTCTGCGTGTCTGCTTGAATCAGTTTTGAGCCCTGGTAGCTGCCTGGACTAACCCTTGACAAGGTTCTTCAGAGGTGATTTGCCATTGCCTCTTCCCTAGGCCTGAGAGAGATCGGCTGGTCCAAGGGCACCTAACTGGCTTTGTGTCTAAGGTGGAACTAGAATTCATGATCTCTCAATTTCTACCCTTATGACTTAGCTTTCTTGAGCCATCTAGCTTAGTTCAATTTATTTCAAATCAATGAGCTGCAAAGGCTTCAGACACCATTTTTTACCCAGCTAAAATCTTTTAATCTAAGATGTCTGAATTTAAATTTAAAATTTTATATAATATTTATATAATTTGAATTCCAGCATCAAACTACCCCATAGTTACATCCTTCAACTTGAGTCTCCCAAATGAGCTGGAGTTGAACTTCCATGGCTGGGAATTATGAGATTTAAATTTCAAAAATCCTGGAGGCACAACTTAGATATGTTTTAGTCTTCATTGATGGTACTAGGGTAAATTTTACCATTTGCCTTGTAACACTATTTTATGGGAACCCAGGAGTCTTAGCTTCTGATCCGAATTGCTATGATTCAACTTTAGGTTTGTTTGTTTTTTAATCTTCCTTTCCATTTCTTCCTAGACTGAGACATCTACATGATTTTCTAAATTCATCCTGTTCAGTTATCTTGTCAAAGATACTACCTATCCAATTGTGGGATTCAATTATTTTTTACTACTGGTTCTGTGGGTGTGGCTGGTAGGCGTGGCAGGGGAAGGATACTGTAAAATCTCCAGTCAGACATGGTTTGCCGGTTCTCCAAACTACTCAAAATTTCCGCTACCAGTTCTCCAGAACTGGTCAGAACTTGCTGAATACCACTTCTGCACCTGTATCTGTGCCTATCACAGATTATAGGCTAAAACAGGTCACCAGCAGAAGAAAATAATCTTATGGCACAGCACTGACTAAACATTTGTTCTACTAGCAAACCAAGATTATTTTAATCATCTTAACAAGACGTCACATTTAAAAATTAACACTCAGACAAATGTATTCTAAATAAGAAATAGCATTAACAGTCTTATACTCACTGAATGCTGTCCAGCCATGTGACAAATTCATATGCACTGCTCGTTGGTGCATGGCACTGTACATATGATTCAGGAGCACAGTCTACTGTATTAAACACCACCAGACTGTATTGGGTACCACCATACTGTAGAATAGGTTGGAAAATAGAGGTTGGATAGAGAGTGGCTTCTGGGTAGAGATATTTTCAACAATCTGATCCACATAAACAAGAACACAATCTCTTCCTAGTTTAAACTCTATTACTAATTAAGGATTTTGGCATCTTTTACAATATACATATAATCTGCTGCTCTTTAGATGTGGAAGACTTAGATTTCACCCAGATTGGTTGCTGATACGTTGTCTTCATAAAAGAGAAAGTTGGTTGTTATGATTGAAATAGAAATTTAAAGCAACAATGACATTAGCAAGTATGGCAAGGCATATGGCTGTTCTTCCTATAACCAAAGAGAATATACCATCTTATATTTATATAATATACCATTTTCTCATAAACAGAAGCTCCAGTCTAGGTTAGTAATTGGCTGGCATCAACATGCAAACCGCAATACTTTTACCTGTATTAGTCTAATTGCTTAGAAAATTATGAATATAAATTTTGGGAATCCTGCTCCTGGTTTATCTGGGTGAAAGATTAGTGACTCACTGAAACCTATTAGTTTTGGAAATGATACAATAATTATTTGAAACTTTGCAATTATTGGCATTCCTTTTAAGTTTTCTACAATAGAGAGCAACTTCCAATCTAGGTAGATCAGCTTGATAACACAAACAAAGCAATTCATCTTTAGATGGAATCCTTCATTAAGGCAGATTCAGGCCAATTCTGCACAGCCAAGTGCCTTAGTGAAGTATGGCTTCTGATCTTTATATATTTATGGATAATGCTGTCAAGCAGGCAGTGACATCCTATCCACACATCCTAGATACCATAATTGAAATAGTTATTCAATTATGAGCATTTATACTAAAAGGAGGTTCTCCAGCCTTTTCTTTCCAGTTTAAAAACACTGTTTCTAAGTATTTCAATTTCTACTGCAAGAATGTCAATGACTCTCACATTATGATTCACATAATAAAAATAATATTTAAGCTTCCGGTTTGTTCCTCTTTGGTGTTGGTACGGAATCCACGATCGTACATGATTTCACCCAAGCTCACTTGCTGGAGGGTCCCGATCAGGACTGGAGCCACCCTGGTGCGGTGGTGAAGAAGGGGGAAATTGCCGGGAGGGTCGAGGGGAGCCGCAACTCCCCTGACAGGAAAATCCCTCCCAAAGGCAAGCTGAAGCGGTGGTCTTAAAATGGCCACCACGAAGACGAAGAACATTCCGGGAAACTAAGTTTTGTGCTGGAGAGAGAAGTAGCAAGCAGAGTGTGAACCAGGCAAAGGACATTGCTTTTGAGGTACCCCGGTATCACATTAAAGAGCTATTTTGGAGGAAAGTGTGTGGAAAAATTGAGAAAGAAAATAGGTTTTTAAATTTGGATTTGACTATTCTATTGGACTAATCTGGAGGAGAAATTTAAAGGAAAATACATCAATACAACAAAGGTTTAAAAATTAAACTGGACAGGTATCAAACTGTGGGCACTTAAAGGGCATAACTAAATGCTGGAATTGAGTGTGTTGAAAAGACTAGCTAATGATTGAAATTAGCAAACTTAATAAAAATATTATATTCCACAAAGAAAGTTAAAAAGAAAAAGACTCAAGAGCGCTACCTACAGGAAAATTTTAGTATGTTTTAAAATGAGTGTCTGGTCTTTTTGAGACTTTGGATTTTGGAACTTGAAAGAAAATAAAAGGAACCTTACTATTGCCAGTAATTTGGGAAACAGTTGAGAGGCCAATTAGAGGATTTGGAATAAAGACTCAAGAATATGAATTGTTGAAAATAAACTCAAAAGATACTGGCTGAAATAATATACTGGACTCTGAGATTGAATATATCTATGAAAGAAGAAGATTTCAGCTATTAAAGAAGAGGAAAGAAAAAGAAAAAAGGAGAAGATATAATGGAGGAGTTACTTGTTGATATAAGACAGGACTCACAAGATATAAGATCAGATATGCAAGATACAAGGGATATGATAAAAATTAAACTTGAAATGTGTAATTATGCACTACAGAAATTAGAAATGGTGACTCAGCATACACAAGAACATAATAAACCAGAGGGGGAGGAGTTTTATAAAGAAGAAGCCAACTTAGAAGGACAAAACGAACAACGATTATTTAAGCGGGGGGAAAAGGAATTAGAATTAAAAATTTGTGGTCTGATGGGATGATAAAAGGGAGAATGGTTCGGAAAATGGCTAAAGAAAGAAGGAAAAAACAGAAAAAGGAAGTGCAAAAGGAAAATCAAAAGAGGGGGGGAGAAAAGTTTAATAACTGGAATGAGAAAAGGAGAGGAATAAGAATGGGGAAAACAGAATTAAGAGAAAGGACCAGAAAATAAAGAACAGGAAACAAACAAGGATGAAAAGAAGATACGCTGTTCAAAGAGTGAGAGCTAATGGGTGAAAAAAAGGGATAAGGAAGGGGATTCCGCAAGGCAATAGGTTGGGATGTATAAGAATATATTGAAAATAGTATTTTGTAATGTATAGATGATTTATAGAGAAAATATAAAGCGGAATCAGAAAAATATATATATATATATATATTTGTGTTTTTATACTAGATAGGGAGATTGATATTAAGGAAGAATGAATGTGGTTAGCTCGAATTATTAACTAGAGGGGACAATTATATTTACAGATAAGGACTGATAAAATGACAAATGTGACAGAAAAAAATAATGAGAAATGACAATAGAAAGGAGATGAGAATTTTGGATAACATTGAAAAATAAGATATGAGAATATACTAAGAAAAATGGAAGGAGATATATTAGGATTTGGAATTGAACAAATGAACATAGAATTGAGATGAGAATTTTAGATAATATTGTAAAATAAGATAAGAAAACATGAATTGGGATTGGATAAGCCTAATATTTAATAATGATAAGGATGACGTAATATGAAATGAAACAAATAAAATGAATAGGTAACTATGGTCATGTTTGTATTGAGATGTGAAACCTGGAACCATACTGCTTGCCAAATGAGAATTTTTTATTTTTAAAAAACAATTAAAACAGGGTGAAAATTGAATAATGGAATTACTAGGTATGTTTAACTGATATGGTGGTAGGCATTTGGAGAGAATAAGATTGAAAATAAATACTGAAAAAGTATGAATTAATATGAATATATGCAATGAGAGATGTATGATATATTGATGTCACACTGTTAATGTATAGTTGTTATATGTAGATTAAAATAAAAAAAATTTGGAAAAAATAATATTTATAATTTACTGGACTCAGTTACGTTTATATAGAAAAAGATTACCAAAACAGCAATCCATTGGAGATGTAACAACGATGATGCTTCTTTAAAACACATGTATTTAAAATTCTTTACTAATGCTTTATTAAGTTTGGGAGAAATTATTGGATGGCATAAATACAATTATATGACAAAAGCAAACATTTCTCTCCAACATTCAAGAAGCCCAGAAATAGAGTTCAAATATCCACCCAAAGTTTAGTTTTTGCAGGCAATGCTGGTTAGATCCCTAGGGCCTCCTTGAGGGTCTGTCCTTTGGGGGAGACCAAAGCACCTCTCAATTGACTTCCAGACATTTTCCACAAAGCCTTGGAGTATGGTGTGCTTTGGAGGCCCAGAGGGCAAGGGGATGGGGGCTCATGGGAGAGGATGTGCACCAGGTGTTGGGTGTCGGTTATTTAACATGTTGGTATGCCAATGAAGGGTTTTGGGTCTCTGGTAGGTATCTCTGTGCCACCCTCACTGTACCCTGGAGCAAGACTTTCTCCTTTGTACTTCCACTCCAGAGCCCTGGACAGAGGTAGGCACACACCCAGTCCAGCCCTCCAGCACTGGATCCTGCAGCTGACCCCAGCCCAGCCCAGTTTCCCCAAAGGGGGCATCTGCTTACTTTCTTCCTTAAGGGCAAAGCTGTTGCCAGTGCCAGGTGCAGAGGCAAAGGTGGAGAAGTGACGGTACGCAGAGGAGAAGGGTTGGGTACAGAGAAGGTGTAGGAGCGAGAATCTGGGTGCAGAAGTGGAGAAGTGTGGGGGAGAATGGAGAAGCGAAAGTGTAGGAATGAGAATCCGGGCGCAGAAGTTGAGAAGTATGGGGGAGAATGGGGAGGCGAAAGCCAGGTGCAAAGGCGAGGAGTTGGGCTCAGAGATGAAGGCCGGTTGGCTGGGCGAGGTGAGGCAGACAAGCTTCAGCTGTCGCTGGAAGAGTGAAGCATGTGCACACCCACCCACTGGTATAGATTGGGCCAATGCAATGCAGGCTGGTCCCTTGCATTTTCCAGGATGTCCCTGCAGGCCCGATTTGACCGCTTTGCAGGCCGAATCCAGCCCGCGGGTCTTGAGTTTGACACCCCTGATTTATGATTTACATTGCTTTCATCTCCAAAAGACTGCATTAGAATATGCAGAAATATAAATACAGAATCTTTTGGCAAGGTGTTACATATACCTACTATGTTTCAATTCTCATAAACTTTTTGGAGAATGAATGCACGGTTGCACAGGCCAAAATGGCACTGGCCATTCTCAGACCTTTATTTTTCTGAGGAATAATTTTTCTGTCTCATAGAATTGGAAAAAGCTTTTCTAGCCAATCCTCTGCTTAGCAGACAGCACTTTCCAGCTCTCTATTATTCAATTTAGAATCTCAAAAATATTTTCACACTCACATCTCCTCCAAAGTCTGTTTCAGCTGGAGGACCACCATTAAAGTACCTGAAAATGAAAAGAACAAATCCTTAGAAAACAAAAGGAGGGAAAAGTTATCCTAAATAAATATGGAAGTAGAAATTCAGTGATGATAATAATAAATCATGGCAAAATCACAAACTGTAATGGAATTGAAATACCAAATGACTAAATTACCAGGAGCCATCAAATTTCTGGGCATTTTATAATTAGATCATATCAAGCATGGGCCCTTAAAAATAAGTTTAGTAAAGAATATATCCAGAGGATGAAAAAATTGTTGAAGACAAAACTGAATTGTGGAAACATCATCAAAGCCATCAATACCTGTGATACAATACATTGCTGGAATTATTAACTGGACATAAACCAAACTGGACAGTTTGGATTGAAAAAAAAAAGAAAACTAACAAGTATTCATTATGCATTACATCCCTGTAATATCTGCTCCCCACCTCCCTGAAATGGAGGCACAGGTTTATTTCGAATCAAACAAACTGTTGAAGAAGAAAAACATGCATTAGCTGATTAGAAAAGACAACCAAGAACAGGCATTAATGCATATTAAAATTGAACTTACTGAATGTGCAGGAAATAAAATATGAATATCAAAATAATGTATTGAAAAAGTACAGAATGTTAGCAAGGGGAAACATTACATGGTCACTTTCTACAACAGACTGAGGGGAAAGCAGGCAAAGATAAGCTTGGCAATGACAACTGGAAGATTAAAAAAAGAAACTCAAGGCTTGATTTTGGCTGCTTAAGAGCAAGTTATATCAATTAATGCAATCAAAGCCAGAATTGAAAATTTGTCAAATGATTCAAACTGTGCAAAGAGGCAGCAGAAATGGTAGATCATACTCAACTTGTGCAAGAAGATTGCACAAACTGATTATAAACAGTAACACGATACAGTAGCAAAGATGATTCACAAAAGTCACACAAGAGGGCTTTATTCTTGGGCAGCCTCTTCGGCAATTGAAAATCCTGCAAGCATTCTCTTGTGATTTTTCTAAGGCTTGTCTCATGCAATTTTTTGAGGCTCTGGAGCACAGAATCTGGAGGAGAGCAGAGTGTCTGGACAGGAGATGTGGAAAAGCCCCTTTTGCTGTGGGTTCGTGAGTGGGGGTTGACATACCAGCAGTCAAGGTAGGCATTTTCTGAATTTTTGACATGCCAAGCCCAAAACATTTGCCATCACTGACCTATACTAATTTATTAAAATTTTACACTGGTCAACTCTCAATGACTGGGCAGATCACAATAACAACCAAATCAATAAAACATAAAGATAAAAGGAAGCAAGTATGATGAAGCATTGTGCTTTCCCATTTACACACACACACACACATCTAAGAGTATGTAAACTCTCTTTTAGAGAGTTTATTAATGTTCCCTTCACCCAGCCTCAGAATTGCCCCAAATAACTCCAGCCACAAGCAGACCAAGATTAGTCCACAAGGCAATGGCAATAGTCCTTAAAACAATAGAAAGTTTCTCCGACAAGTCCACCAAACAAACTTAAGAGTTACCAAGCAAAACTGAAAGTATATCCATGACAGCTCACTTGACAAGTGAAGTTCAGTCTCCAAGGCACAAAATCAAGCAGTAGCACAAACAAATACACAGCTACAAACCAAACACATTGTTCCCAGCAGTGCCTCCCTCTGCCTGCCATGATAAATAGCTTTCCAGTGCAGCCCATCAAGAATTACTTCTGAGTAATCCGGAAGATCTCCTTTGCTCTTGTGTATTCTCTGCCTTGTGTGCTGTCGGATCCAACACAGAAGGCAGCTCCTCCTCCTCCTCCCTTTCACTGACCTCAAACTGTCCCCAGCCGAAGCCCTCCGTAAATCTCTTTCGGCCAGCAGTTCAGAGTCATTAATTAACCCAGTTCCTGATGTGCAAAGAATGAGCTCAACCTCTCTCAAGATGGCCTCCGAGTCAGTGGAGTCATCCAAGGGAGACATCACAAGCATATGGTCTTACTTTCCCTTACCAAAGGTCTGTGTGAATGAAGATCCAGATCTTCACACCTCTTCTAAACAACTGTGTGGGGACCATTTGGATTTCAAGAGGATGATCCAAATATCTGTTTCAGAGGACAGGCACTGCTACGTAGAATGCACCTTTATGGGGTCCTGAGAAGTGATTGCTTAATTGAAACAAGCCAGAGCACACCAACTCTGAGCAGATCTTATGGGAGTTAGGCAATGCCTCAATAATCTGGACCTATATCATGAAGGACTTTATAGACAAAGCCCAATACCTGATTTTTTGCTCAGGTTACACTGAAATCATTGAAGTGCATAAATGGTATTCTGGCTTGGTTACTTAATGTTTTATCACTGACAGAGCTAAGAATAAATTGTAGACATTCTTAGTGCTACCTGAAGACATTTTCATATCTGAGGTATATAAAGTAATATTACCCCTTCCTGGTTTTTACAGAAGGAGTTGATTGGAGAAACTTTAACACTGGTAACAAGATAATTGGCTCAGATTAGACTACAGGTTTCGGACAGTTTGCATGGCATATAGCTGGAAAGCTCCATAACTGCTACATGAGAAGATTCCCTCACTTTGGCGAATGGTAGTGATTACTTTGATATTGCATATATTGTTTTATTGAATTTAATGTTGTGAATCTAACATCAGTTTGAGCTTGTTAACTTAATCTGGAATGTTCATTTTATTCTCAATTTATCTTCTTCTATGTTCCCTGAGACTCCACCATTTAGAATCTAGAAGTTTATTCTTTCTATATGCTTGAAGTTCTATTCTTCAATTAGGAAAAAAATGGGTCCTCTATTTTACTACCAACTTTGTTCCAACATACTTCAATGCAGAAATGCATCACATCAGAACAGTTTCTACAAACCATGGTACATATTACTAGGCTTACTAAAGCCAGAATACAAGTTGTATATACAAAACACAATAACAGCCAATCACATTTTACTAGTATTGTTTTCTACCTACAACCTTCACTGATAAATTAAGGGAAGCAAATGATATCCTGAGGCTGTGAATACTCACTCAATTGCAGGAAGAAGATAATGCTTGCGCAAAGATTCAAAGTAAGGTCCAAGATTGGCGGTGCCTTCAATAACGAACACAACATCAGAAACCATCCCAATAGGTTGAGCAGGCATGTCCAGCATTGGTACCACCATCTCCTTCAGCTACCATGAGATGAGAATAGAGAAGAATAGTAAAACAAAATATTAAAGACAAAAGCCAGTTGAAATAAATGACTTCTTAGTATTTATTCAGTATTAAAAGAGGACTAAATACTGTACAACATAAGTGAACTATCTCTGGACAAGAAAACAATTTACATTAGACAAGTGTAAGAACAAGAAAAGTAAGAGACTAATAAATGAAAAGTGGAATGAAATCATATGTAAGAAGAGACAAAATGGACTACAATGGGCATCATATCCTCCCATTAGTTCAAAATAAAAGATTCCTCCAACCAAAAGCTTTACCTCTAAATGTTGTTTCACTACAACTCCCAGCAGAACTAGCTTTCTGAGCCTAAGATTATGAGGCATGAGTGAGAATTATACTTCAGCAAGATCCCCAAAACCTCATTCTCCATGCCTAATGTTGTATAATTTCCACAGCCAGAATCCCAACAAATCATTTCCAGTATTCCTCACTCCATATGTTCAAAACACACAGAGGGGTTCTGGGTAAAGTTGATCTCGACCAACATTTAATTCCCAGAGCAGTTAACAGATACTTATAGGAAGCCTCCAAGAAAGAATGAAGGCAATTCCTTCTTATTCTTCACCTTTACTACTAATTCTTATTCTTCACCTTTACTACTACTACAAGAGCTATTCCGATAGCCATAAGAGAGTTGCCACGCCCTTTAGTTGTTAGAAAGGCCTTTCATGGCTGTACCTCTTTTTTAAAAATTAACCAGATTATCAGCTGTCACTAGCATCTTGTTATAATGAGTCCCGTAAATTAAGAAACTGAAAAACAAACATTGCTTCCGCGACAGCTTGGGCTTTGTTTGCTCTGAATTTACTCTCAAAGCTTCATTTATTAAAACCAAAGCTACGAAAGAGAAATGGGAAGGGCTTGTTTTGGCTTTGCTGAAATGAGCGATGGAGGAGAAGCAGGAAGGTTATTTGTGCCTCGCACTCGGATTTTCTTTCACTTTCCCCTCCACCCTTCAATAAATGCCTCTCCCACTTTGAATTCTCTCCCCCTCCCATTTGCATTCCCCTACACCCCCCCCTCCCCACATCTCCGTACCCGAAATAGACATCCGGCTTCTACAGTTCACTTATTTTTAAAGCCACAGGAAACGCTTACCTTCAGGTCCGCTTCGGCACGCATGCGCACATGAAAGAGGCATCAAATTATTTTTCATTCTCTCTTAATAATTAAAGAGTCCTTTTGCTCACCCACTTCCTCCCGGAAAGAGCGAACGAATCACAGACCGGTGGAAGGGGGCAAAGTAGAAAACAGCCAATCATACATGAGCACTGTTACCATAGCATCGGCTGTGCTTACATCCCGGCATACTGTGGGTTACTCAATATGGCGGCAATGGGTCGTGAGAATGGAGATGTGGTGGACATTAGGCAAAAGGAATAGAAACAGCGGAGTCTTGCATTCGGTAGAGTTATTCCCGCTGCCGGTTCAGTGTAAGAAAAGGCTCAAAATGTGGGAGGAGGCGGAGAATTCCGTGATTTTGTTGTGCCTTACGGCTAGTAGTGGAGTGCCCTTATACTGTAGGAGCAGAGGAGGGTCTACAAAACAGCAGGTGAGCGTTGTCCATCCTGCTTTTCATTCCAATTGATAGTGAATCACTTTATTTTAAGAAATACTTGTTTTGTGGAGTCCTCGGTGCCTTTTGAGCAGGGATTTTACTTGCAGTTACCCAGTTACCCATCAGTGGTAGTGAATATGGAGTTTGCTCTCTATTCTCCAATAATCAACACTCAGCTAAACAGGGATCGGCATCAGAGAAACAATGAAGCAGAAAACAATATCCTAATCAAATAGTATCAAAGAAAAAAACATACCACCACCAACATTGGCAGGGCACATTTCTATATATAAACGGGGAGCAAACCCCACACTCACTAGCACTGATGACATTCACTAATTGGCAACCAAACTACCAAACTCAAAGAGCAACAAGGACTTCCATAGTTCAACTCTGAGTTACATATATTCTCTTCTGTTGAAAATATATGCTTGCCAAAACGCTCATATTGGGAGATGATGATTGACTTGTTAGTCCAACAGTCTAAGAAGTTGTGTAGTTTACTTGGAAATAGTGCTAAAACACTTCCTACAGTGCTAAAACACTTCCTTTGATTTTTTAAAATCAAAGTTTTTAAAGTTTGGCATGATAAAAGAAACAAAAAGAATTAAAAATACTAGTCATCCAGATTGTTATGAAGGTGGGAAAATGATATATCTGGTTTGACAAGTGCTCTGCCATTTTGCTAAAAGTTACCTATTAAGAAAAGTGAGGAAAAAACAGTGCTAAATATTTTGGAAAACTATTTCCAGTTTAAACAGATAATACTGCCTGTCTATTGTAATTTCATATGTTCTTGTATGAATGTTACACTAATGTTTATCTCTTCTTTCCCAGTTACCCTTTTCTGTCATTGGCTCCTTGAATGGGGTTCATATGTTTGGTTCCAATTTAGATGTCCAGCTGATAGCAGCCCGTACAGAGAATACTCATGTGATGTGGAAAGTGTTTCATAATAGGTATGTAGAATCAGGAATATGTATGCTTCCAAGTTGTCATGTTACTAGCAGGTGGTCTGATTCTTCAGTAGGCGCATATAGGCTAATTTTTGCAACAATTAAAGATCTTTCAGATTTTATAACTTAAGTCTTAGTGTGAATACTTTTAGAATATTGAAAACTTCAATGTTTCAGTAATTGCAACACCGATATCTAGAACTTTCTGCTAATAATCAGATGGTTAGATATCTTTATCTAATGCAAATCAACTACTTTTAATTGTCCCAGGTCCTTCTGGTACTGGTTTCCTGAGTTTTTCTTAGTGTGAAGTGTTCTCGCCCTCTCCATGCCAGTTCAATTTCTTGAAGAAGAAAATTGTGTGATATGGAATTAAATATGCCTATATCAATTTGTTGTAATTTTTGCTGATTTCCCATTGGCTGTTCAGTATGCTGTTAATGCCTACTGAATTATGTGGAATAACAACACATGATCCTAATGGTACTCAATATTCATTTTTTGAAATATTGTCTATTACATAACTATTTTTGTCTTGAAAATAAATAAATAAAATAAAAAATAAATGAAAACATCAATATGCAAATACCCACAATTCAGTTTTATTTTATTTGAATATCCCATTTGTTCATGATACAACATTGGGCCTTCTTATTGAAGCAGGCATTGTAACATATATTAATGTTATTATAACTTTTATTGCTAGGTAAGACAGTCTAGAGAAAGATTTTCTTTCATTCCTCACACTTGCTTAGGTTCGGGGAGGTTCATTTTGCTATTTCTTTCACCAAAGTGCAATTATTTCAATTTAGGAGTAGAAAGGGCTAGGATTAAGAAATTTCTTCTTTATTCCTGCGTTTCAAGATACATTATTTATGCTGCCTTTCTTTTATACTTTTGACATCTGTTCTAAACTGGAATGGCTAAAATGAAAAAGACCTAAAAATGAATAAACTGGGAATTTTATTTCATTATCCAGTTCTATTAATCTTCAAAATGTATTTTATATGTAAAGAAATTCTTCCAACTATTTCAGATTAACATAGCATATTGGGCCATATCAGTAGTTTTTATTCATCTTTTCAACTAAATATATGTTTCTAGATTTCCAGAGTTCTTAAATATACAGTATAAAAATGGAAAAAGATTGGAATGCAGGAAGAAAAAAACAACTTGAGGTACAAGTTCCTATTTACAGAATTGTTATAAACACAGTTCAGAGAGTAGAGGGAAATATAAGAAAGTTTCAACAAAATTCTCTTTCCTTCTGTATTCACAAAGCAGTTTCTATCGACTGTGGACATTCCAGCTGAGTTGAGGGTTCCTATAAATTATTTCAATCTCTTGCAGCTATCTTATTTCTTCTTAAGGATTCTGAAGTTCCACTAAGCTTTGGTGAAATATTGGATTTCTTCTACATAATTTTAAAACTTGCAAAATATAGGAAAGATATTTTTCTGTCTATTTGCTATAAATATTTTGCATTCAAACACTATCTTCAATTTCTCTTTTGTTTGTTGTTCCCAGTGTCACCCTCATTGTCTTGTCCTCAGAAGAAGATGCCAGTGACTTCAGTCTTGGAAGGCTTCTTGAGAATGTTTTCAATGCCATGGTGAGTAATCAAAATATGACCTCTGTAAAGGAAATTGGAAGATAAACCTAGTCCATTGGGCAAATAAATAATTTCAAGTAAAACAATTATTTCATCTGTTCATATATATGGATGTACAGGTTAAAAATCCTATGAGCTTATACAAGCCAGATTTTTCTTATCGTGGGGAATTAAATGATGATTTATCAGGAGGTTCTTTTTCTAGTAATATAGAAGATCAGTTAGTCTATTTTTATAGGAAAATTTCCAGTATTAAGGATGAAAATATCTTTCTTCCTATGCTCTTGTTCTCCCTTCTAAACTCACCCAATTTCCCAAGGGCTTGTTTCTGCATCTGAATGGCATGATATATTTTAATACAGGTACTAATACTGGGCCTGGAGGAACTAACAAATGTTCGTAATATTGAACGTCTGAAAAAGGATCTAAAGGTAATGTCTGACCTAATTGTCATTAGAAATGTGGAGAGAGGAGTAGGTGTATATCATATGAAAATGGAAGGCAAGAATGCGGGCTGCAGAGGAACTTTTACTTGGGAGTTAAGAAAGGATTCATTTTTAGGAAATGTTTCTTTTTCCCCCTATAATAAACTCTTTAGTCAGTTGAGAGACTTCTTACTGATACTTTTATATCAAATCTTATATGGAAAAACATTTTATGCCTACACTTTACCCTTGGAATCACCTGTCTTTAGCTTGTGGCAGATGTCTTCTGCAAGCATGCAGGACTGTTACATCAAGAAATTCTAGCAATAGAAGAAGTAAATTAATGGTAATTCTTATTGTTCATTTCACTGCATAATAAACTAAATATTTGGAATATTTTAATCCTTTGCCATTTAATTATTTCTTGCACAATTCTTTCTCTAGTCATGTTATAAACTGATTGACAGTTTCCTGGAACGGGGCAAAAGTTTTGCTGATTTGACCCAGTGTGTGGAATGTATTATGATGCCCTCCAGAGCAATTATGCAGGTGAGACCATCTAATTTTCTCTTCCCTCCTTCAATATGTCTCAACACATTCAGTCTTCCCTTTTAGTCAAGGATTTTAGAAGCTGATGGAAAAATACCCTTCTGGAAAAATAGATCTATGAACAATTTCTCCATCAAAACAGTTAAAAATAGGGAGTATTTCAAATCTGATGTTTTTATTCAGGCATAAATATACATTTTACACCTCTTGTTAAACAACAGCTTTTGAATGAATGAATGAATGAATGAAATGTTGATAGTGGTCCATTCTAAAGTTATTTGTTGCATCTTATCTCTTTGTATTTATCTATGTCTCATAATGAATAATGAGAGTATATAAATTATAAAGGGTAATTTGGGGAAGTATCTGAAGAAGAAACCTCCTATTCTGGAAAAAAAAATTGTTTGAGAGGTGGAATGTAATCATCCATAACAGAAATGCAGCAGGTCAATGGTGGTTTAGAGTCACTATATTTATACTGTTGGGAATAGTCCTGGCAGTATTGGGCACTGTCAATTAAGTACTAATTTATGTCTAAAGATCATCACCATTGCTTTGCTATGCGATGAACCCAGTATCATCCTTCTGTAGGGCAGCCTAGTTCCTTTAAATTATTCCCGAAGTATAAGTTGCAAAAGTGTTCATTCCTCCTGGCCTGCCTGTGTCCCACAATAACTTTGTGTTACCAAGGTAAATGAGGAATTATTTGTCTACCCAAACTACTGACTAGATTTGTAGCATTAGCAGGAAAGAGTATTTTGTTTACATACTTCCAAAATAAACAAATCAAGATAATTTGAAAGTAAATGGAAAACTGAGGAAAGAAGTGGATAAAAGATAATTAAGAGGTAGAAGGAACTATTTACATATTAGATACCAATTTGTAACAAGATGTCCTGGCTTCTTACTATCTTTTCTGTCAATTTTTTAAATCATTCTAACTTGTATCCATTACTTTGCATACATGCAAACAAATCTTAGTGCTGTCTTGTTCTTTTCTGCTCCAGGAATGCCTAGAAGCCTTTGCCTCTGCAGCAGAATCCCGGTTTGGTTGCCTGCTTGTGGGCAGTCATATCTTATGTGCAACTGAACAGTGGTGGCAGCTTGCAGCCCCAGAGGCCATGCTGCTGGTGTGGCTTGTACGTTCCCTTTCTCCACATAGTTCCCGCGATCTGCCTGTTTACCTTCCCCAAGGCAGTCCCACGGTGAGCAGGTTAAAGATTTGAGAAGGAAATGAGGATATGTAAGTCCATATTTCTAATTTTTCCCTGTCCCTTTGTTCCAGTAGGTTCCTCACCGTTTCCTGACTTTTCAGCTTGTGCCTGATATGCAAATAGTATTGCTCTGTGGGCCTAATCCCTCCTTACAGTGCCTGACTGATGAGGTGAGTGTGCTGTATCTCAAATGTTTCTGATCTCTGTATCTAGAAGAGCAGTTTATCACCCTTTTTAAAGTACACTTGGAACTGTCCATCTGTTGGTTAAATTTACTGTTCTATTTGTTGGCCATTGCTGATTTACGTCGTGGGTTTAATGAAGGAGGCATACTTGAAATCAGTAGTGCGCAGCTACTTCAGATTAATGACCATAATTCAGCCCTCCAAATTTCTGGGAGGAGAGGTGTGATAACATTTTTCACTTGACTTTGGAGATTTTAAGGAATGGGAACGGTTTATTTCTTGGTGGCTTTTGCTGTCACATTTCAGTGTGTTGGGTTGCCTAAGGTGCATATAAATAGCAAGATGCCTGTTGATCTTTGAAGTTGGGGCCAAATGTCTGTTGAAGCTTTTCTTTCTTTCCACAGCTAGTTAATAAATTTTGGCAACCACTGCTGGATCTGCTGAAGGCAACTGCCAGAGGCCCTGCCAGATGCCTACCACCTGCCATTGTCCTTTCTCCTGGTATCCTAGGGTGAGTTTCAAATTTCTGGGTGGTCCAAGAAACTGATTTCATTTAGGATGTGGACTCCGTGTTTGTTAAATTACTTTGTCTTCTTTTTAAAGTCTCCTGTGGCATTCAGGGCAGTACTTTTACCATTCTTTCCCAAGATATAAGCCATGGGCTCATCTCTTACAGGTTACTGCTAATTAATCAAGACCAAAGGAAAAGCCTCTTTACGTTGCATCCTCATGGGGCTTCAACTGAAGGTATAGCTCATACATTCTTGTACTAGGAGAGGACAAATTAGGAATCCCTTCTATTTTAGTAATTATGAAAATCATAAAACACTGACATTTATGGGATATGAAAGGGTGGCCTGCTAAAATCTCATCCTGATCTCCTTCTTATAGGATCTGAAATGTCCACAAAGAATCGGCTCTGTGCCCTCCGTTCTTTCTATGCTTTAGTTACTTCCTTGTACTTTCCTTGTGAGAAGCAAGAAGAATACACAGGTATATTCCCATCTTTCTGTTGAAATTTTTTTTGCACACTGAGCTTTTAAACATCTGTCTATTCATAAAAATTGGAAGAAGTCCCGTGTGACTAAAAGAATCAATAGGCACCAAGACATTCTTCAATTTGTGCTTGTATTGTACATGACAAATTTGGTGGCCATATATACTTTAATAAAACTAAAATAGTTGAAAGTTTAAATACTTTTAGAGTAAATAGCAGCATTCTTTAATATCTAATAATACATCCCAGAGTTGATCTTTTTGTTGCATTTCTTTGGAGCATTTATATTGAAAGGTTCCTGTAGAACATGATCAAAAGACCTCACAGGGTACTGTCCGGAAAATAGGAGGAGGAAAATAATTTGGATATGTTCCCTATCTTGAAATATTTGTAAAAGTAATATAGGAGGGATATAAATAAATGAATACATAAATATTTTCTTTTCTCCAGTCCCTCTGCAGGAGGACTTTCATGCTGGGTTTTCCCATTGTCCTCAGCACTGTTATATGGTCTACACTACGCACAAAGCCTATGTTATCCATGAGAGGCAGCACCAGCTCTTCTTAATCGTGAAGTCAGATGTACCTACCTTTGCTTTACGATCCTTAGCAACCTGCACACTACAGGCTCTCACAGCTGAAGATTCGGCCTTTTGACTTATCTTGTTGAACTCGATGATGAAATTTGGAGTGGTGAGCTAGAGCCCCTCAGTATGGTTAGAGTGACATATTTTCATTCAAATGTTGTAATGAAATTTTCTCTGTGCAAATGATGATTAGGCTGCAGAGAAGGATTTTGAATTTATGGAAATTTCAGAAACAGGAGAAAGTGAATAATTCAATGCAATTCAATTTCTTCTATCCTCTTATGTAAGTAGGAGGCAATACAGCTAATGCAGCTGTAGGTGATGACTAGTCTTTGGTCTCTATTCTCCATGTGTTAACATTGGTAAGAATTTTGTCTCTTATAACTTTATGAACATTATACACTAACATAATTTTGTCTCTTATATCTTACTATACATTATACACTAAGAAAGGTGCTTGGGCCAGTCTTAGCCATGATGTGATTATGTAGAATTCAGCAATTAATCTTGAGAGCCAGTTTGGTTAAGTAGTGGATAAGGCACCAGGCTAGAAACCAGGAGTTTGCAAATTTTAGTCCTACTTTGGCATTCAAGCCAGCTGGGTAACCTTGGTAACCTCATGCCCTCTCAGCCTAACTCACCTCACAGGGTTGTTGTGAGGAAAAGAGGAAGAGAAAATATTATATAAGTTCACTGTCTTGCACGATTTGTAAAAATAATAAAGGTGGGATATAAATAAACAGGTATGCAAGCTGTACTGTGGCAGAGCTACTGAACTAAATTTTCCTTTTAAATACATTTCAGCAAAGTACTAGCAATAGTACTTAAATTTATATACCACTTCATAATGCTTTACAGCCCTCTCTAAGGGCTGTTTACAGAGTTAGCATATTGCCCCAAACCATCTGGTCCTCATTTTACCAACCTTGGACGGATAAATGCCTGAGTTAACCATGAGCCAGTCAGAATCGAACTGCTGGCAGCCAGCAGAATTAGCTTGCAACACTGCATTCTAACCAATGCATGAACTACCTCTCATGCATTCACCTATAAATAGAAGGCAATTCTGTGTATGAATCAGGGGGAGGGGGAATGTTAACAGAAATTGATACTACCCTTATTTATAGCTGGCTTCTGTCATTGCTTCATTAGAACAATCGAAGAGCCTTGATCATATACATTTCTTTTACTGTGTAATAAAAAGTATACTGAATAGGGCCATTTTGATCTATATACCTTATAATATTCTCACGAGTTTTGATGGAGTTAAGCCAACCAAGCCAGGAGGCCAGGTGCAGAGGAGGCACTCTCATTTGCATCTTAGACATTGAATTTTATGGGGGGGGGGGGGGGGGAGGGAGGGAGTCATAATGAGGAGTGGGTATTTTTTTCTCCAAAGACTTTGGTCATGGGGAATACACTGTTTATGTTGGGCTTAGCTTTCTAAGAGATATTGAAGGGAAAAGCAATGAGAAAGTGGTATTTTGCAAAGACTGTGCTTTCTACACCTAGGAGGAACATAACTGGAATGATCGGAGTGTTTTCCACTTTAATTGTCACACTTTTTAAAGCTGTATCTACTGGTGGGAGTGGGAAAAGCACAGACCTTTCAAGATGCCTTCGTCCACTACAAGTAGTCCTCACAACACTAATTGGGACTGGAGTACATTTGTATGCAACAGTTGTAAAGTATGACATCATGACTGCACTGCTTAGCAACAAAAATTCTGACAATTCTAGTTGTCATTGTTAAGTAAATTTCATGCCGTCATGAAGTCAGGGTGTTGTATGATTATCTACTGGCTTCCCCATTGACTTTGCTTGTAGAAATCTGGCAAAAAATGTTGTAAATGGCAAACACATGACTGCAGGACATTGTGACATTGTAAATTAAAGATCAGTCATGAGTACCACTTACTCAGTGTCACTGTAAATTTCAATGATCACTAAACTAGTGGCTTATAAATGAGGACCATCAAATGAGGAAGACATTATTTTCTTCTGTATATATATTTGCCTATCTTTGCATAAAGGAAGGCAGAGCTTCCATGCTTTCCACCACATGGAGAAAGCAACTCTGGTGAGGCTCAAGCTTATATATAACTAGTTCCATACCACTTAGCTGAACATCCTATTGCAAATGCTAGGGCCAGGCACACTGTGAAAACGTAAGTGTATAGTATGCGACAGTTCTCTATCCATTTCTACCCTGTCCACATATAAAGAGCAGTATGAAACAAATCAGTCAGCGGTGTGGGGGGGTAACCCAGCCTGGCTTGATTCTGGCTCTCCCCCACTCTCACGGTTTTATTAGAGTCACATGGAGATAGATACAGGCATTCAAAACCCAGATAAACTAAGATGCGCTAGTTAACACCTACACAGCAGAGTAACATGGAGCCCGGGCCAGCATGGGAAGCTGGGACACCCCCAAACTAGCATGATCTGAACCCTTCCCCTCTCTTTTCCAAAATGCACGGAGGGCAGCATTCCAGAGTCCATCTCCCAAACTCTTGTACCTGCTTGAGGCACTCCTTCCTGGGAATTGAAAAGATGGTGAGGGGAGGCAGAAGAGGAAAGAAATTGTCTCTTTCCCTCTCATCTTCATGTAGTTTCCTTCTAGAGCTGAAGAAAGAGGCAGTTGCTGTCAAAATTACGTTCCCACAAATACACGTAACTGTAACACTGGAATGATCATATCAAAGGAAAAGGAGAATTTACATCCCCATCGCTGGGGAAAACACACAAGGCAAAGAAACACAAAACGACTGCCTACAAGAATATCCCCTCCTCCCCAAAGACCCACACAATCCTATTCCTTCCCCTCAGCCAGCTCAAGGGGAGCCAGAGAAGCTATCCCTTTCCTCAACAGAAAGGAGAAAATCCATGGTGAGAAAATAAAGGTACATATTGTAAACAAAACTAAAATGCCAGCTTAAAATCATATAAAAGTAGTGGTAATGGGTGAAGAATTAAGACCACAGATTCCAGCCTCATCCCAAAATGAGATGGACCAGTTCACTGCATGGGACGAAAGCTAGCTTTCTTCCAAAATTTGCCCTTTTGCCCAAGGGATGATTACTACTGAAAGAATGCCCTGCACCAAAACCCATCATCCCTCCCCTAACCCAGTCTGATTTTGTCTAACCAAGGGTCCCATACTTTTGCTCCCCCTTTGCTTATCCCGCTTGATGCTGGCCCGGGCTAGGCAAGGAGAACACAGAGGTTATCACAACAACAGGCAGGGAGCAGTACAGTCTTTCTGGAGGCCCCTGGTTTGGAGAGTGTTGGGATGAGATGTACAGAGGCATCTAGTGTGCAGGAATGGCCTCCCCTTCCTATGGTGTGGCAGATGCCTCAGAACTGCTGGGAAAGCAGCTCACAAAGGTGCTTTGAAACAGACTCCTTACTGGTACGAAGGGTCAGCCGGTACATCTGCAGGAACGATAAAGGAAAGTTGGTTAAAAGAGAAACGCTTAAACATTATGCCCCTTCAGTTGTCCTAAGCTTTCAGCTACACCTCTTCTTCAGTTTTATCTGTATTTCCCATTATTTCCTTACAAATCTCAGAAGTCTCAGTTTCCCAATTTTTATGCTTTTATTTTAGTGCCAACTTGTATGTCTGAAATCAGACCTTCAGTCCCAGGAGCCCTCACCTGTGCCTGAGCATTGGGTTCCAGTCGCAGCAAGCATCCAACCTGCAGTGCTTTTGTCTGGATGATCCCAGCTCCTACGTAGTTATCAGGGTTTGGATCCACCTTCTCCAGGAGTGCACTGCCAAAACCTAACAGCTGTTGGAGAAATAAACTGGAACTTAATTGGAATTATACAATTGCAATAGAAGGTCTACTGCAAGTTACACCCACCTTAGAAAGCTAATAATGGGAGAAAGATATACCTTCAAAATTGTTTCAGAAGTCTGCAGCACAGACATTTATACAATGGCTGCCTCTTCTGGCTTGATGTTATGCCAATTTTCACAAGAAAAAAATCTGGTGATCAATGGAAAAATCAACAGTCCTAAATATAATACACTAATATTCCCAAACTAATACTAAACAACGAAAGGAAACGTGTTCCATGATGGCCCTGGACAAACACAATATCCAAAGCTTTAATCTTTACTCATCTGAGCAAATTAGTAGACATTCTGATCTGAAATTAAAATAACTGGATTAATTGCCCTGAAATAAATACAAGCTTGCAAGTCTTTCATAGCATTCAAAGCAACTTACTTTTGCTTTTGTCACTTCTGAATCCATGGGGTGGTTTGCCTTGAAGATTTTCTGAGCTTCCTGTTGTGGCCTGCAGAAGAGGATCAGATTAGTAATTCAGGTCCTATTTTGCTAGTCATCTATCCTGTTACATGCTTTCTGCCTCAGTCATATATGGTGATGGTGGAACCATTTATTTAGTTACTATGACAATTTTAAAAGGGCAAGGCCAAAAAAAGGCAGAACTTTGCCAAGGTCATGTGTATTCTTATTCACTGATTATTCAGCTGAAGAATTCTAAATATCCTGATCCCTTAAAAAAAAAAACCTACCTCATGTCCTTTTTTCTCTCACATTAAGTCCTTGCTTAATGGGTTGCTTAGTGACCTTTTAAAGTTATGGTGGATCCTCCAAAAGCTACTTATGACCCATTCTAAAATTATAGCTGTTGCAGCTCTCCTGCAATTGTTTGCCTTTACAACTGACTATAGGGGCGCTGCAACACTTCCCCCCACCTATCTCCAGATCCAGATCCCCACAGGCCTCTCCCCACCCCAGTCCCAGAGGGCTAGGGCTACCTCCCTAGCACCTGTCATCCATTATACATTTGCCTTTTGAAGATTTCAGGAGCTTTCTGGAACACTGCAATATGAATACCTGCATGGTGCAATTCCAGAAGTGGCCTCCATTTCCTAAACGACTGCATTGAATTCTAGTTGCTCAAGAAATGGCAGCTGTTTCTGGAATCATGCCAGATGGCTGCCTGACCTAATGTGATTTGCACAGTGCTGCACTTTCCAGTCTGGGGTGGGGGGAGGTCTGTGGGGACCTGACTATGGGGAAAAAAAGGTCAGTGGGGGCCCAGTGAGGGGGAGATAAAGCAGCAAAAGGACTGTGGGGATTTCAAGAATGAAAAACATTCTTGATAAGCCCTGGGATGGCGGAAATCTTGGGAGCTCACGACAGGCAGGCTTCTCAGCCTAGTGCAGGCCCACAAAACATCAATTGTTCCAACTCACACATTCATTTAATAGCTGCATCAGGAAGAACAGGGTTTATTAAATAAGATCATCTCGCTTAATGGTCATTACCACTTGTGACCATAATGGGCAAGCTCCATTATGGTCATATCTCAAGAACTACCTATATACAAACTATCATTTATGAATCCTCATTTCCAGATATTTCAAATTGTGCAAACTTACAAGCTGAGTTGTTTCCAGCGCTGGAAAAAGTCTTGCGACTGCATCTCTGTTGCCTGGAAAAACTTATTGACAGTGATAGGCAATTTGAGAGTGAGATTCTGCAACGTCCCGCCATAGCTATCAGAAGAGAGAAATAAGGACAAACAGACCCATGAATTTACATTATTATGAGTTTAATTATTGACAACTTTAAAGGGGGGATAAAAGCAAGAAGAATGAGGTTATTGTTAATTACTGACCATATCCATTTCCTAGGATTAGAGGCCCCTGACTATCAAAAGCGGATGCGGGGTTTGTGGATTGTTTTCTGATGGGGGATTCCTAGAATATTGACCAGTGTAAGCATGTTTTGAAATAATTAGCAGAAATATGATATAAGATGATAAATTTGTGGCCGATGGAATTTTACAAAATGCAGCTCACAGAAATGTGGGAGACAGGGATGAAGCAAAGCAAACACGTGCCAAGGCAAAAATTAAAATGCAAATTAGTGATTATTAGAAGTACTACTTGTTTGGTTTTGCCCATAATTCTGAAGGTTAGAATCCCAGCCTCTCCAGCTTTTCATATTCTGACTCTTCAGTATTCTCTGTGCAAGCACAAAGGTGGATATGCAGGCTCCGACTGTAACCACTTTGAAATGCCTTTGATTGCTCAGATATAGAAACTCTTTCTTCTTTAGAATTGAAGATTAGGCTGAGATGTCAAGCAACGATACCGGAATTTGATGTTGATAAGGGGGGCCTCTGTGAAATCGCTCAGGCATTCAATGTTCAAGACCTGTTGAACTTGAGCCCCTCCCTCCACCAGTGGTTCCACTGCTTTCGTCTGAATGTTGAGCTGTGAACAGGGCTAAGGAAAAGGTTACCATGGCTTCTGAGCAGTGCACAAATAGAAAACCCAAGGGCTTGAAAGCCACTCCAGACAAACTCTTCTTTTTCTCACTACTAGCACCCTATATAAAAGGATATGGTTCTGCAGGTCACCAGGATAGCTGACTGTTGGGGTGAAACTCTGGAACTGGACGGATGTTTTATTCCCATAGAAAAGGTACATTCGGCCTGGAAGGATGGAAATATATTATGGGATGGCCACGGTCCACATTTTCTTGCATTACGCCACAGTTTATTTAATTACAAGTGTCTGAATTCAGACAGTACACAAGTGTGGAGTTGGTACTGCAATGTCTTTGATATCAATTGGCGAATCTCCAAAACAAAGTAAATGTAAAAACAATACAGTGTGATTTTGAGGGACTTACTAAATATTTCACCATTTTTTTTTTAATTATTTGAAATTTTTAACCATTATTAAAGTATCTTTCTGTGGTGCCATAAAAGGTTCCTGTGTTCAGTGATTAATTAATTTACAAATCAAAATGGCCTAATTTAATTTAAATAAATCATACAAACTGTGTTACAATTTAGTATAATTTGTGAATTCAGTCACATTTGGCTTGTGTTAGACTAAAAAGAATACACCCTCCTCACAATCCATCCAAATTAGGGCTCTGCCATTTCCCCCCATCTATCTTTGTGTTGCATACTGTCATTTCTATTTATCAGAGTTCCTTTCCTCACGTTCTCTCTCTTGTTTAAGATTATGAAATTTAGCAAACTTTTCTTTTTCCAACTGTTAAAGACTATGGATTCACACAAACCACTAAGACACAAAAATCTTAAAATGCTATTAGGCTTCATTAAATTTTGCTACTCATGACTTTGAGAGTTGTATGAGCCATTCTGTTTGGTTTTTGTTCAATATATTGCACAAATCCAAAAAAATGTATTAATTCAGTATTAATCCCTTATTGGCTGTGTGTTTGTGCAGATAATGGGTATCGCATGCAGAGTAGAAAACCCTCCTGTCTTTAGTGAACTATAAGTGAAATATCTGATAAGCTATCACACAGTAAAGTTGATTTAAATCAGTTTTTTTAAACAAGATGGAGTACAGTTAGAGTCTGGAAAAGGGCTGTAAAGACCAAGACAGACCTAGCAGTGAGAAATGAGCCATTCTACCTTTTTATAATGGGAAAGTATTGAGGTGCTTATCAGTATAGGGGGACTGCCTCTTCAATTAATCTACTCATCCCATCAAGTCTCTCAGAAGGGGTATGCTTTGAATTCCATTGACCAAGGAGATTCATTTGGCAGGACTAAATAGAGAGCCTTTTCTGCCCTTTGGAATGTTATTTCTCTCCAAGGTGATTAGATTAGATTAGACTAGATTAACAGAATTGGAAGGGACCTTTTAGGTCATCTAGTCCAACCCCCTGAAAAAAGTCCTAACTGCTGGCCTTCCAGAACGCTCTTTTGGATGTGTCATTGGGTTTGGCTGGGGATCCCTGGAAGTGTGAAACTCATTAAATTGTTGTACTGTGTAGAAGTTTAGATGCACTATCCCTTATCTTTCTATTGCAGCTTTTAACTGTAGTTTTGAATTGGTTTAATTGGTTTTAATAGTTGAAGTTAGTTTTAATTGTGTATGCCTAGCAGAATCATATACAAATAGTATGGGTAGCCATATACGTTGTCTGTCTGTCTGTGTCTATAGGCACTTACAGTACTATTCTAGAAAAGACAACTTAGTGAATACAGAATATTTTATTGTTGAGTTTCATGGCTAAGTGGGGACAGGAAACTGGGTATCACAAAACTGTTCTCATATTGGCTCCTCACAGAAATGTTATGGTGAGACCAGTATACATAACTCTAATACCCACCTAACCATACAACAAGTCTTCCAGTCTTCAACTCAAAAAAGACAATTTCTTATCTACAATGTATTTGTTTTTTAAAAGAAGGCTGTCCTCATATAAGGGCACAGGATGTGTCTGATTTGTTCAGAGTCTTGAACAAATCCCAACTTGCCTATTGTATTCAACCTACTACAAATACTTACCTAAGTTCTGCCGGAATTCTGACTTCACCCCAATTTGCAGCAGTTGGTTCTCAAAAAGCACCCCATTATTCTTACACACAAACCTGCAATAGTTCATGAAGATTTGGTTAGAAGTAGGCAGAGACTACCCATTATTTGTAAACATGCATGCCATTCCTTGTAGAAATGACAGCCACTTTCCCTACGTTTACCAATTTTGATACAAAGCCACTCATCCCTTCCTCCCACTAAGATACCAACCTGTTATTTCCTCAAGCTCATACATTAAAATTTATCTAGTATGCAGGGATGGACAATTTCTTCCAAATCATTCCATCTGGAGAGTACTTCCTTGAGGTGAAATTACGCAACAGGGAATTACGTTGACTGAGATTTCAGGCTGGAGGAAGCCATCCCACACATATGTCAAAGGGGAGTGGCACTTAGTCCAGTCCCCCACCCCAAACCCCAGCATTCAGGAGTCACAGTCCTACCCCAGGATCTTACTTGTGAAGCAGTTCATCAGCCTCAGCAATAGGCAAAGCAGAGTCATCAGAGACAGAAGCAGCAGCCCCTGAACTGGTGGTGGTGAAGGGGCATAGCAAAGGGGCCAACAGTTGACAGAGGCAAGGAAGAAAAAGAGCAGAAAAGATGAGTCACCTGGCATAGCACCATGTTAGTATCAGAAAAAGAAAAGGAGGAGGGAATCAAACCACACGCATCTAAACATAGAGAGAACATGCCACAGAGCAGGTACCAAGGCAGAAGAAGAACTGTGGAGTATTCCTGAAAAATACTATAAAGGAGAGTTCCAAATCTTAGCTTTTCAGATATTGTTTGATTCCTACTTGCATCAGCCGACACCAGATTTTAGGGAGATGATGGAAGCTGTAATCCTACAACATCTGAACTTCTGAGCATAGAAACTCTGTAAAGGATGAGAGCCAAGCTACCTTTTATATATTATGTTTTTATATTTTCACTAAAGCATACAAATTTATATTCCTCACAGTTAAAAGCCAATTTTAAAAAAGTGGGATCCAAGACTTTTTCCAGTATATAGTACATATTCTATAATTCTGTAGTACATATTCTATAATTCTGAACCAACCTAATTAAGGTATTGCTTCAAATGGATTTTTATCTAGAAATCCTGTATGTGTACAATCTGGATTTCCTGACCATAATTTATTCTCAACCCTAAAACACCTAATTCTGAATTACTGTCTTACTCAAGTCCCTTGAAGGAGGATTCCTCTATTTCAAGTCCCTATCCTGTCTATGTCAATTGAAGCAACCAATGGCTCTCCTTGTTTCCACTCAAAAGTTGTATGACTTTCTGGTTTACATGTTCTAAATTCTGAAGTTCTTGATCATATGAAGCACAGAAGGAATTTGAGGCAGTTAGGGATGGAAAGGTTGTAGATTGCAACTCTACAGGCTATAGCATCTTTCTAGTAAGTAAGGATTGTTCTTAATGAATTGGGAGGCAGGGAAGGAATATGCGTAGGTGTCACATAAAATAGGTGAGCCTATAGTCTCGTTTTTATTTTACAGTTTTATTGGGAATTTTGGGTCAGGATTGTGTTTTGATTTTTTGTTATTATAATAATTTCAAGATTATTTTAGGAGTACCATTATGTAAAATGTTCATTTTTTCCCACTTCAATCAAGAAACCTCCTGGTGATGTTTGGCAACTGTGGTTGACTTGGGTATTGCATATGGCCAGACTGTCTCCTCCTAATCTAGCAACACAATGCCCTTTCTATCAAAATGTATTTCTCATTCCACTCACCTCTCTTCTGTGGCAACTATTATTTTATAAGTGCATAGTAGTTTCTAATGTCTAGATGGACAGATTCTTAATCCTGTAGTCTTAATGTCTAGATTTTATCTTGGAAATCATAAAGAGAACAAGTAATTGCAGCGGGGTAAACAGAAGCAAAATGCCAAAATTATGAGTAGCGCATGCTTACATTTGGCTATTTCCAGCTGAACATGAGGAATAGAAAGATGTCCCCAATATTTCATAAAAATAGATTCTGATGCAGAATTTGGAAAAGAACAAGCAATGGAGCAGGTATTCTGGGAAATAGTTCTAAGCATATGGGCGACCACTGACACCAAAGGTGAGACAAAGAAATGAGACAAAGTTACAGAGGGCATATTTATAAGCTCTTATATAGACTCTCTACACATCACATGTTACATTGAGACTTTGCCATTCTTTTTACTTCTTGAGAATTCACAATGTTATCATACTAACATCTGTTATCCTCCTCTAAGCGAAATCCAATGAAATGCAAATAGGTGGGAAGGTTGTAACAGCAGACAGAAAGAGAAAGAAAGACCAAGGGAGAGAGAGAGAAAGAGAGGGAGAGAGGGAAAGAGAGACAGATTCAACCTCTTACTCTGCAGGCAGGTCAGCTTCCACCAATAGGGATGCAGGATTCTCAGGAGTTGCCTCCAAGTCACTGTTCATCCAAGGTAAGAGGTGTGAAAGGGAGAGAGAGAAAGAGAGAGGAAACCATTCCAAAAAGGCAACAGACAGACAGAGAGAAAAAGAGAGCAAGCAAGAGAGACTCTCACACCCAAGACAAAGAGAACAAGACAAGACTATGAAGACTGACATGTGTTAATTACCCATCTAGAGAAAGGAAGCCCAAAACTCCCAAGCTACTTGGAAGTGAACCTCTGTAGATCAATCTTGTCTATTCTATACAAAGATGTACGAATAATATGGTTATCTTCTTATTACAAACATAGGCACTTGTATATCTACCTACTTTGTCTCTCTTACTCCTGGATGAGGATCTCGAGCACAAGAAGTCCTCCCATCAACTGCTACTCAGGTTAAGTGGGAGATGGTGATTTACCCTTTGAACTGGAACTTTCTCCATGAATAAGGCACTCAGCCACTGTTACTCATTCCTCACAAACCTCCATGACAGCTATAGATCAGAATCTGGCATTCTTGATAGAGCAATCACTCTTGTATCCTATATGGGCTCCCAGGAGTTGTCTAAAAAAGACTGGCACTACTCCCCTGACAAGAAGACGTGCTTGGACTGATCCAATGTGCCAATCCCTTCCCTCAGGAAGGCTGGGGCAAAGTACCTGGGTCACCATATTACCTTAGAAAATTATCTTCTGCACCAGAGGCCAGGCCAGCTGTGGTAGATGGGCTGTCAGAGAAAACATCCACTAGAAGGTTGCCAGTGCTGGCAGGGACACCAGATGCAGTTGCTGGTGTAGCTCGGAGACCTAACAAGTCAGCAGATGGGGATGGTGTTGACTACAAGAGAAAAAAATACAGTAAGGGGCAGAAAAAAAATTATTTTCATGATCCTAACTAGAAACTGAACTCAATTATTTATCTATTTCTTAGAAACAGAAATAAACATCAGATCTTCTTTACTCCTGTGCTGCGTCAAAATAAAATATCTGCAGTTAAAATAATCCTGGAAGTTGGGCTTCGTATGTATCAGTTTCATTACAGTTCTTTCCTCTGGCATTTGATGAGCCTCTTAAACTGTTTGCAAAAGTTTCATGCTTAATAGACATAAAAGATAAAACAGTAAAAATTATAGAAATGCAAACTGGAGTTGAAATTAAGTCTCAGATAACACATCTGTTTGCTGTCTGCACTCTGAGATGTGAATTTAGTTTTTGACCAAGACCAAGACCAAGACCAGGAGTAGAGGAGAATACTGATATTGGTGATACTGTGAATTACATATGACAATCAAAGGACATCTATTAACATTTCGTATCGTACCTACCGAAATGTTGGTGTAATTGAAGGAAATGAGTATAGCATGAAAAATCTTGCTTTATAATCTGACAGGGTTGCAAGAGATTAGAATTTATAATTGTTATTTCTTGTCCTTTCTATTTTTTCTTCTCCTTCCCACACAGCATTTTTTTCTTTCTAGGGAGCCTTCTAAGCCTCCCACACTCTCCATTTCCAGCCTTGACTTTTCCCCCTGTACTCACAGCAGTGCTGGCTGAAGGCTCCATGCCTCCATTAATTTCAGAATTTGGATCCTTCTTGCCATCTTCTAACTCACTGCCAGCCCCAGGACCCTTTTTTTTCTTCAGTTTTGCCAAAATGGAAGATTCACGTTCAGGGAATGGTGGCATCTCCTCCAGTACTGTAGCCTAAAGCAGTTAGAGTGAAAATTGGAAACAAGTACCAACATGCCCTGTCAGTCAACCTTGTAATTATGAGAAAAGACTGGAACTCAGGAAAAAAAAATCCTAAAGACAATGTAACCACCTACTGCATGTGGACTACCTGCTTTATCATACTGGCCCTGGGCAGCCATCCACTTTTTCAATAATGTTTGCTCTGCAAGTCATCTGTCTGGAACGTCTTTGATGCAGAATAAGTGACTTGAAAGTTATAGGAGGTTCCCCATATCTCTTTTAGAGAACCCCACTTCCCCCAGCAGTGCGATTTTGCACTTTTTAAACCCCCAAACATTGCAAATAGTTACATTATGCTTTTCTGGGATGATATTTATTGGTTCTAGGCAACACATTTCAATCCCAGCTCTGTTTCTTAAAGGAAACAAATGAGCTAGAACTTTTAGTTCCATTTCATTTGGAGACATCACTATAGTACACTCCTCAAAGGCAACTGAAGTACCACCCTAGCCCACTCCATTTTCAGGTAGAAGGGTAAAAACTAGCTTTGGACCAAGCACAAAAATGTGAAACTTTGATTCATTCCACCAAAAAGAGAAGTTTCATATTTTCTCTTTTCCAATGCTCTCTGAATCAACTTTTCTCAGATTAGGGCTGCAACTTTTTATAAGGAAAAAGTAAGAATCTATTTTCCCTGAGAGATGTCCCCCCCGCCCCCCGGTCAGTTCTTCCCTCACCAGGACATCGGTGCTGGCAATAGAACTGAGCTTGAGGTATTCAACGGCACGTTGCTGCAGTTCCACATCAGCGTTGCGGATCTGGCTGTCTGAACGCAGCACTTCCTGGATGGTGCCCTTTGTTTCAGGAAAGAGATTTATGAATTTGATGTAGGTAGAGAGAAGTAGGGCCCGAGTGGAAACACTGCAGAGGTGGAATTTGGAATGGAGAAGGTTGAACTGAACCAGAGGGCTGTTGGAGAAATGAGAACAAGAGACAACATGAATCAGAGCCGCTGAGATCTACAGGCGAGGAAATGTGAAAGAAACATTCTCACGGGCTTCCCTCACAACATCAAAGAACAATGGGACAATCTCCTTAAATGCTCCATAATAAGTAAAACAGGGGAATGATGTAGCCCTCCAGATGTGCTGAGGGTGCAACTTTTACAATTTTCTTTAGTCAGACTGCTATATCCCAATACAATCCCAGCATCTGCTTTCCCCAATTAACTCATAAAAGCCATTCTATCTTACTCCACTCCACCCTAGCCCCTACCCCAGATCAAGCCATTTCCTCTATATTATCTACCTGGAACGGGGATCCCCAGCAATGAGATTCCCAAATTCCCCAAGGATGTAGCCTCCAACTTTCACCATGTTCTCATGACAAGCAGGTGCCTGAAGAGCCTAGAAAGAGTAAAGCAAATACAGCGCATGGTGGGCAGTTAGGTAGCTGCAACTTGAGAATAAGCTTCTGTTTTTGTTTATTATGACATCATTGCTCTTAAAAAGAAGGGCAGGTTGAATATTCTTTGAGCTCCTTTCCTAGCAATCCCATGAGATCAAAGGCTTAAACAGATTCAAGTTTATTCAGACTCTTTTAGATTGATTGACAATCTCTGACATATCCGATATATTCAGCATCAAACACACTGCAAAACTATGTGTGTACGGAGCTCAATAGTTATACCCTCTAAGTTCATAATATTGTCCTGACAATCAGTCATAACCTACTTCAGAACATGTAATTTCATTCCCTTGCATCAATAAATATTTAGCGTTTTGTAGACACTGAAGATGTTCAGTCGTCATTAAGCTGAAATCCCTTTTAGTGTCCTCTAAAAATATTTATTTCTTATCTATGGCCATATATATTTGAACAATGAAATAAGAATGGACAATCCATATAGTTTTCATAGCCAGATTCACATACTCATAAAAGGAGGGAAAAGAAAGCTCACTCCTTGGAAGAAGAGATAGTCAGTGTCCTAAGTGAAGACCACCCACCTCAAAGACTGTCTTGGCTGCATAACCTTGCACATCATCCCGGTTAATGACAATCTGGATGACACGGTACCACACCTCCTCACTCACGTAGTCACCAGCAATGCGGATCAGATTGAGAATGGTATCCACATACCAACTATAGTCTACTGCATATTTCTCAGCTAAGATGGCCACCTTCAGTACCTGACAGAAAAAAAGCAAATGTGGCAGCCAAATCCCAACTGCCCTGCCCTCTCCAGACCAGTTTTCATGTTCAGGCAGGCATTCATTTTATTTCTCTGCAATCTACTGAGATGAAAAGACCCAGGCTCCTCTTCCAGTTTCTCTTCCCAATGAGTTGGCAACCCATACTCACAATCTCTTCACGAATTGAGTAATCTGCTGTTTCCAGATAGCTAAGCATCTCTGAGACTATTTGCTTGGCATTTGTACGATCACACATGGCATAGAGAAGGTCGGCAGCTCGCTGGCGTACGCTTACATCCCGTTCCGTCTGTGAAAGGAGATGGGTGAATAAACAAAGACAAAACCTTTTACCTTCAGCATTAATTAAGAGCCAATTACACCTCCAATTTAACTTAAGCAGATACAAGTTGCAAAATGTATTGAGATCAATGCAAAATATTATATATACAAGGAAGAATTAAAAGGATGTCACATTTAAAAGATGCACCATCCATTTCAATAGGATTTCCCCTTTCTTCCTTTCTCCCTTTATCTCAGCTTTGTGGTTCATAACTCTCTGATCATTAATTTAATAAGAATTCCCAAAAGACAGCAAAAGGGGTTATGGCACTGCAGTAATATGGTTCCAAAAATTTAGATGTTGTACATTCTGTATGTGAAACAAAATTTTCAGTAAGGAAATAATTTTAGTCAGAAAGACTCAAGTAGTAGTTGTAGGACTCAACCAGCAGAACTCACTATAGACTTAATTTTTTTTGTTAAGAATTCTGTTCTTCTACTACTTCTGCAAGCTGATTTCCAGTTACGTTCCTAGGTGAAATCAATGACTATTTATATTCAATGAAGCTCTACACGTCTTGGCAGCCAAGTACTTGCAGGACTGCTTCTCTTGTTGGAATTCTCACTTCTGATCCATTCTTCCCAGAAAAAGCTACTGCTAGTTCTAATGTGAGCGGAAAGGGGAATGTGTCCCCCCTTTTAATATAGTTTTTTACACTAATGACTCTGGACTTCAATTAACAATGAGACCATCTTACTTTAGAAGTTAGAGCAGGTTGGTAATCTTGCCAAAGTAGATTAAAATTGAATTCTTCAAAGTCATTTGGGGAATAACTAGAGAACACTGTCTCCAGTTAATGGAAAGTAATTTGTAACTTGTTTTAGTTTAGCAACTGTGGACATTTTAATTTTCATTATATATAAATTGTGTGTTAACTTCTAGGAATTCTGTAGATTACAATAATAATATGTGTATGTAATAAACAAGTGACAGATAAATGAATATATGATTTAACTCCACATACATGTCCATTTTTTAAAAAATGAGCCCATTGCCAATATTTTCAGGGTTTGTCTAACTTCTTTTTTCAAACTACAGAAAGATGCAAAAATCTAGCAGGATACCAAAGCCTAAAAACGGTAAATTTATTCTTTGATCTTTGCCAGGCTTTTAACATTTCATCAATGTATATTGAATTAATTAAAGTGACAATGATAATGCTAGAAAGCTGCTTCCCAAAACAATCAAATAGATCAAAATGAAAAGTACAAGCTTTAGGTTTCTAAATTTAAATGCCGTATTTGACAAAATGACTGTAAATTCTACATGACCTTGACTGTTTTCTTCTGACTTCAGTTGAGTTCTTTCCTATGTTTCTTCTACAGCAGAGGTGGGCAAGCTTTGGGCCACATTTTTTCATGTACGTATATATTTTTGCCTCTAAGGGCCACAGAGCTTATTTTCCTTTGATGCAACAAAATCACTGGGAGTACATGAGAATTTTCAGCCCATTCTTGTAAGTAGGGCTGAGATGACTTGGAGGAGTGTTAAAGAACACATGAATTTTCACCTATTATTTGCTGGGGGGGGGGGGGGAGCTAAAAATTGAATGAAAATTCAACCACTGAATTTTAGTGGTACAATCTTGGACCCACAAGTTGGAGGCTGGGGTGCGTTATGCAACCTATGATTCACAGTTTGTTCCTTCCTGTAATTTTAGGCTGGAGAGGCAACCTCTTTTAATCTGGCCTCCCATCAACTGGGGATAAGGGGCTAAGATTGTGGCACATAGTATAAAGGTTTCATTCACTGTTAGCAGAAATTGCATTTGATAGCAGAGAAGTTACTGAGGAACTTTCTTTGGAAAATGGTTGTGTGACTGAGCTTGCATTCTTCCTCACTATCTAGAAACAGAACTAAGAAATTTAGAAAATCACTCTCATTCAGCCTTACACCCTCACTCCCCATTAAAGTCACTTTTCTCTGTACATGCCATTACAGAGCCTGACCTTTAGAGCATTGATGACTGTTTCAATGTGGGTCTTGACAGCTTCATGTGAGAATTCAGAGCTGGCTAGGGTACACATGCTCTCCAAGGCTAGATATCTAAGGTTGGTCTCTCGATGCTGCAGGAACTGCCCTAGTTGATTGCATGCACGTACCAGTAGGTTGGGTTCACTGCAGAACAAGAAGTCCGGGTTAATTCCAGAATAGGAGCAGCAGGGAGTACTCTGTACATAACTCAGCCTGACTATGTGTCTCTCAATTTTTTAACCATACCAGCTATCCATCCGATTCTATAAAACCATTCTTTCTTCTTTTTATTTGATTTTCATGATTCTATTTGTTCTCTGGCTCTGCTGATACTTAATAGAAAATCCTGAAAGTCACACAACATTTCCCCCCCAGAGATTTGGATCAATCAAAGCAATACTGAGGAAGTTTGGGTCTATGGGACAAAAAGAGACTATATTGTTTCTGTTTAGCCTACTGAGGTCTAAGCTGGACCTTGTTCCTTCTCCACAAATTGGGAAAACTCAAATTGATCAGAACTGGATCAGAACTTCCTTGTAATAATCAATTGAAATCAAATTACTTTTATAAAAAGATCTTCTGAGTTGAGGAGCATTTAGGACTATTCTTTTGGCTAACTCCTCTTCTCAAATGTTGCAGACATGTATCCTCATCCCACCATCCCTCTGCAACTTAGTTTTCAAAAAGTGTCCAATAGTATCAATGTATGAACAGTATCAGTGGAGGTATTTAAAAAGTTAGCTATGCAACAAGATGAGTATTTTTGAGGAGAAGCAGAGTATTATGGAGAACAGGGTGTGAATGCAGGTCTGGAGGTGCATGGTTGAACTCATACCTCCAAAAGAGAATGGTGTTGCCAATGTAGAGGCCCTTGAAAGAGAATGAATTTCCCAGCTCCAATCTAATAGACTTTTAGTAAATCCAAACAAAGTTAGATGCTTGCCTGTCATAATGGATGATGAGACTGATGGCTTCAAAAAGGATAGCATTCTTGGCATTGGAGTGCTGGACTTTCTTGGACTTGGGGGGTTCCTGAGCCTTGTTGAGAATAGTCTCCAAGCATTCAACCAGGCGTCCTTTCACAGCTGCATCTTCTGCAGATAAAATAAGATATGGAGTCAAAGTGTAGCAACTTTGGAAGGAAGGCAGTTAGTTTAACAAGTAGATTCCTTGTCCCTATAAGTCATTCATCAGTTTCCCCCACTCCCCCGAGGATCTATATTTCACTGCAGTTTCTCACAAGTTAAGGACCATCCATTCTCTGTTGTTCTGGAAGTTTCCATGCAGAAATGCAACCAACCTTCAGTGTTTTTGTAATGCTACAAAAATAATATGTATTATAAGGATCTCTTCCTTCATCAAATGCAGAGGGAGAGGATAATAGGAAGGCATGAGCAAAATGTTTATGCAGGCTCATTAATAAGCAGGAAAAAGGGATGTCCTCAAACAGGTCTAAAAATACTTAAATAAAAACTTTATTAAATTCATATACCATCTATTTATCAAGAATGCATTTAAAGCAGTCAATTATCCTGAATTATAAATAAAAATTGTTGTGATGAAAAGTTAAAACAAGGCAAAACAGATTAACAGTAAAAGGATGTGTTGCTTCTATGCCTTTTACTAAGGAGAGAACTGCAAATCAGCAAGAAGTTCAGGTAAATATCCTACAACACATGAAGCTGGCATATTCCAGTACTATCTTTGACTTTATTGGGCCTGCTTGTTACCTGGGGGAGGGTAACACTGCAGCAGCCGCAGAAGCTTGACTGAGAGCCAAGGGGCTGGCACAAAGTAATAGGTGTAGTCCTGGAGGTCTGTGGAGGCTGAAGAGACAATCTGAAAAGAGAGGATACAAGCAGGGCAGCCCAGAGAGCCGGTCAGAATCTCCACAGCTGGTCTATCAAAAAAAATCCTATTCCCCAATAATCTCTAAGCCATGATCACAAAGGTTCATGGTTTGCAACTTCCTGAGTAAAATTAGTTATATCATAAGACACGGGGGCAATAAATGGCCCTTATACTTCTACTCCCAATTTAAGACCCCAACTTCCCAAGCAGCTATTATGGTCAGGAAAGAAGACAGTTGTGTCATTCAGCAAAAGGACAAAGAACTGTGCACTTAGATATGTCAGGAAGAAGTTGGAAAACACCAAACTAAAGTTATCGATATGCATTGCTGCTCTATCATTATTTTGTATTTTGTCTGAATAAATATTGCATATATTGCAGCATATGAACAATTTGCACAGTCCTAATAAAAGACCAGGAGGGAACGGCGGAAACTATCAGCTAGGAAGAAAAGCTTCCCTTAAAGGCAAAAGCTTATGGGAGAAATGCCAGAAAATCCTCCTCCACATCCTATAGGCAACTGTCCATATTCTCAATCTGCTGCTCTGCTCTCAAGTGGATACTTGTTTCAAAGCAGGCAAGCTCATAGCTCTGTAGAAGGAAAATATTAAGACCCCATATCAAATACCTTCTTCTTTTATCCCTCCACCATCCAATGTAAGCTCAACGTCTGCATCAGACAATCCATGCCCAACAAGTAATAGAATGCACAATGAAAGAACAGTCACTGTATTTTCTTTGGAGAATTAAAGTGTCGTAGGTTCACGCTCAGACTCTTTAATTAGTCACACAGGAACATGCCAGTTGTGTTGTTTCCACTTTTTATTAAACACTCTGGTCATTCTGATTTATCTTAAAATGCTGTTATTACCTCAATCTGACTCCATCTGCCTAATAGTGAAGTACTACTCAGTAATCTCCATCTGATGCTATAGATTTACTTCTAAGCCTCCTTAATATTTTAGACATTCTAGAATTTTTATGTAATATTCATTTCCTTTCTTTTGATTTTATTTTAGTTAACTGTGATTTCTGTATTCTCCTGCTGATCTATAATCGAATAAAGAATTGTTACTATTATTTAGTCACAATGGATTCCAACACCATTATGGTTTTCCAGCAAATACAAATTCTATTACAGATGTCTTTGGAGATTCTGAGTCATCCAAATCATATTTGTCATAAAGATGCTTTTCCAAAAGGCAATTGATATTTCTTGCTTTTTTTCCTTGAAAATGTTTTGCTTCTCATCCAAGAAGCTTCTTCAGTTCTAGCTGAATGGTAGAGAACGGAAGGATTTATTATTAGTTTTTGCAGTCATCTGGTTGCTGGCACTCCAAGGGTCAGTTGTTAGCTCTCTGAGAATATTTGAGGTCACTTGAGAGTTTATCTGTATCCTACAAGTCACCTGAATCTGTCATGGGGCCAATCCACATTGTGGCCAATCTCTACAGGAAAGATATAGAACCTAAAGCCCTAAACTCCTTTTTAGGAATTCTACCCACTCACTGGTATATATGGATGATACTTGGGTCAAAATTAAAACATAGAAAGTGGAAGCCTTCACCAAATAGATCAACATTCTGGACAGGAACATTAAGTTCACATGGAAAGATGTTAAGGAAAAACAGTCTGGCCTTCCTGGACTGTGCAGTACATATTAAGGAAGTCTGAAGCCTTAACAGTGAAGTTTACAGAAAACACACACACACACACAGATCAATATTTACATTTTGATTCTCACCACCCATTAGAGTACAAACTGGGACTGAGCAGAACCCTATACCATCAAGCTGAACATTTGCCTACCATCAAAAAGGGAAAAGAAAAAGAACAAAAATATATCAAGAAGCCTTCAGAACTTGTGGCTATCCCAACTGGTCTTCACTAAAGATCCAGTAGGAGCTCCTGTATAACAGACAAAGAAGAGAACTAATGGAGCAATATTATTGCAACATTCCATATGTTGCAGGAATATCTGAAAAGTTCAGAAGGATTTTCAACCAATATAACATATGTGCACACTTAAACCAAGAATACACTATGGAAGAAGCTTGTCCACCACAGGTATAAAACACCCAGATACAAACTGAACAACATGGTATATAAAGTGCAATGCAGTGAGACATATATAGATCTGTACATTGGGGAAATAAAATAACCATTTCACAAATATATGGCACAACACAGGAGAACAAACCCATCAGAGTAGGATATGCCAATCCATCTAAATCTGAAAGACAAAGGCAACTATTTTGAAGACAAAGGACAGAGAGGATTACTGGTTTGAAAGAGGTGTCAAAGAGACTGTCTATGTTAAGCCCTTTCTCCACAGAGGGGAAGGAATACAATACCACCTATCTTCTGTCTCCACTCCTTTCTGTAGTCCCAAGAAGTTCCACACCCATTTGCATTCTGAATCAGGTGTCTCTGAGGATACAGATAAACCCCAAATGGCTTCAACTATTTTCAGAGAGCTAACAACTGACCTTTAGAGTGCTAAAGACCAGATGACTGCAAAGAATATAAATCCATCTATTCCCCACCACTGAGTTAGAACTGAAGAGTTTCTTGGATAAGAAGTGAAACATTTTCAAGGGAAAAAAGGAAGTCTGTCTTTTGGAAAAGTACCTTTGGATGTACCACAAATGTTAAAAATGGCTTAAACAAAACATGACAGTGCAATAATACTAAGCAAAGAAATTGATTCTTGGCTCTCTGTTCACTCACCCTACTGAGCCTGGATACTGCCAAAGAGACACATGTCTTGAAGTCATCAGGATTTTTTTTGCAGAGGCAAGCAATAAGGCTGACAGCAGCTGTGACCACACCCTGTATTGTGAGGATGTGTAGGGAGAAAGATGGAAAACTGAGACCACTTCTATAGGAGCTGTAACAAGCAGTCAATGAAGAAACTGGCAGTAAAATCACAGATTGTGGTCATGTAATGTTTTGCTCAACGATCACAGATGAATTGCTTAACTACTGCGAAGGAAGTGAAGTAACTCCAGCAGAATGACATGATTTTTGCTTAGTGACCTATTGCTAAGTGAGGGAGTTGCCAGGCCCAATTGTGGCCATTATGTGAGGACTACCAGCTAAGATAGAAATGATAGCTGAAGGCCAAAACATCTGAAAGGTACCAAGTTGGAAGTAGGTCAATATAAAAGCACTCATAACTTCTGTTCTTATTAATCTTATTAAATTAAATCATTTTTGTAACCATAATATATGGTTTGCTATACTACACATTAACTAAATAAACTTGATATTTGGAATACAGTAAGTCACAAAACTAGGAACAAGATTTAACATTAATTAAATTTTATTGATTGTTTAGTTTCACATATGTGGTATGAATACACCTCTTTTAATAGCTTGGTGCCTGGATTTAAGGGAGTAAGAACTAAATGTTGATGGGACTCTACTATATGATAATAAATCAGAAGGATGTACCATATGCAAATTATTGCGAGGATGACAAATGATTTCCTGTCCAAACAATGGAACTCAAAAGGAACAACATACCATGTGCTGGTCATTCAGAAGATGCACCACACGTGATGTCCACTCTCCCATGGGCACCAAATCAGGTGAGGTCTTGTAGAGGCGCAAGAGGCAGAGAGCAGCACTCTGCTTCACACTGTCCATAGTATCTCTGAGGTGTAATAAGGACAAACAAGTGAGTTAGATAGTTGATATTTTATTAGAGGAATGGTTATGTCTTGCTAATGGGAAGTTTTAGGTTCAATCTTTTACATTACCAGATAAAAGGATCAAGCAGCAATAATAGAGAAAATACCTGTTGCTTGAGCTATTGGAGAACCTCTTGTAGTCTTCCTCAGTTTGAAGTATGAGCAATTGAGACCCTTCAGATATTGCTGAATCACAATTCCCAGAAGTTCCCATTGTGGGACACTTAGTGTAATACCTCCACATATTACAGAACATTGCTAAAATCTGCCCAAGCCCAGGCCTTTTGGGTATATTCAAGGCTACTATTCCTTTTGGATGGAATTTCTGGGGATTTTAGCTTCAGTGAAACTAGAGGGTTTAAGGTGGGGTCAGAATGGTGTAAATAATCTCATGCTGGTGAATAACATAATCTCTTCTGTTATAAATTATTCTCTGATATACCTAAATGCCATAATGAAAACTACCCATCTTATGTCATATAGTCAGTCCTTCCTGTATTGACTCGTCTTACCCAGCCACCAGGATTCGGGGGATCTCGGAAGCAAAGGCCTCTGCCATCTCACGGCTGCCGACATTGGCAATGCAATGTAGGGCCAGGCACATGAAGGTAGGATTGCGACTTGCCAGGTCATTCTTGATAGCATTGTTGATGAGACGGATCAACTCACTGTTGGAGTTTACCAGCACTGAAATGAACAGGTAGCCCTAGACGTGTAGATACAAAAGACACAGAAAAAAAAAACAAAGGATAAATTAAGCACTGTAGGGCAACCAGGGGCATACCTTTATTACAGGGATAGAAAATCAATGGTCCTCTAAGTCTGGTTGCACTACAAATCTCAGCAGACCTAACCAGTATAGCTATAGTGAAGAATGCTGGGAATTGTAGTTAGGAGCAATTGCATTTCCTGCAATCCTGCAGTTAGTCAAACTGCATGCAGAGGATCACTTCGTTCTTCAGCAGATAAGGATTGTTGTAAGTTTGGCCAGATACCCAAAAGTGGTAAGAGCATGCTAGTCAATTAATTTTGATTTCCTCTCTGGAACACAAGTTTGCAGAAGCCTTTCCTCTGGCACTTTCATTAGCTGCCCGACTATTTCCCTTCAAAGCATGGGGTGTATTTTTTCTTGTTTCAACTTTCAACAAGCTCAGCTATTGCTTTATTAGGGAATAATACTTCTCATCTTCTTATCAGAATGGCTCCTAACTCAAAAAGAAAAAATGCATGTTGTGACACTATTTGGAAAAAGGGAAGAATGGAATAGTCAAATCTCCCCTGAGGCCTAGTTTATGTAAAATAACAATCAAGGTGGGAACATTGATTCTAGATGGCAACAATCCATAAGATTATGAAAGTGAGAACTAGAAGAAGTTGTGCATCTGAATGCTGTAACTTGTTTTTTTGCATTCAGTAACTTGTAGGAACTAAGGCACTGCCATAATATATGTAAACTAAGCTATCATATTAAATCATGATATGGTTTCTTATTTAAGCAAATGTAAATGTAGCAACTATGTTTTATTTACTTCAATTTAAGGCATAATATACTGCATGAACCCAGCCATTTGACTATACTCCTGGAGCTAGCGTAGTGTATGGTTAGAAGGTCAGACTAGATTTATAACCCAGGCTGATCTTGTGCCAATTATCCTCTCAACCTGAGAGGTTTGTTGTTGGGATTAAATAAATCTGAGCAAAACAATATTGGAAGGTGAATAGGATAATCTATATATAATATATAATTCAGAATCAGAATCTTCCAAATACAGTTAGTAGCCTTTTCTTTTCATTGAAATCTGTCAGGAACACTAGTGTCACATACTTTTCACATGGAAAATCAAAATAATGAATGAATAAAATCCAGGATTTTTTTTAAAAGATCCCACTATCCTTGGGCTTACTCACAATTTGTTTTTCTGTATATTTGTTGGAGCTGAGCAAGTTGACTGCCTCCATGTGCCCAAAGTCGATGTCATGGCCCAACAGGAAGATGAAAAGCAGCTTGCAGACATATTTCTTCTTGCTGTAACCATCCAAGGCTTTATCTCCTGAGAGGGGAGAGTGACAGGTGGGGAGTGGGGCAGGAAGGTCACTTGCCCTGCTGGAAGGAGAAAGGCATCTGCAAGGCAGCTTGGAGGGGGAAAAGACAGCTACAACAGCACCTTGGCCTTCTATTACAAGCACCCAGAAAGCCATTTTGTCAAGGTCACAGGTAATATCTTCCTGTTTTACTTTTTATATGGCCAAATTTCCTGACAGACCACTTTTCTCTATTACTCTTTTGGAGACCCAGTTTGGAGGAGGCTGGTGTAAGCCACATAATATTCTGTTCTGATTCTCCACCTTTAGATTGGAGTGCCAAGATTGGGAAAGTTGTAGTTCATCGGATACTTCAATTGATAAATGAAGCCACCAAGGGGTTTAGAAATTCCGTTTACTACAGAAGTCACATTGGGGAACAGCAAAGGCTTTGATTAATACTTCTCATCAATTCTCAGCTACTCTGATCAATGAAGCAGAGAAGGAGACAGAGTTCTCTTTTTCTTCATTCACCTACATTCTGATGAACAAAATGTGCTTGCTTCCAGGGGTGGGATTCAATTTTTTTAACAACCGGTTCTGTGGGTGTGGCTTAGTTGGTGGGCATGGCTTGGTGGTAATGTAACTGACTGGGCGTGGCCAACTCAACATCACTCACATTGAGGCACGCATTTCCTTGCCTGGCCTCTCATGACTGTGGGGCTGCTGCAATAGTCGTAAGTGTGAAAAATGATCATAAGTCTCTTTTTTCAGTGCCATTGTAACTTTGAATGGTCACTCCACACAAGCAAAGTACCAGCAAAGGACAGGAAAAATACTCCAGAGACGTTCCTGAGACAGGAAGTCTAGTCCTGCCAAGAATGTAATAAGGGTTAATGGAGAAGCAGTTTCTGTAAGCAACACCAGAATCTTTCCTTCCTGCCTTCCTTACAGGATTAGGCCAGTAATTTCTTCTAACAATCGGTTCTCCAAACTGCTTAGAATGTTAATAACCAGTTCTAGCGAATAGGTGCGAACCTGTAGAATCCCACCCTGTTTACTTCTATATATAGACATCAGTGAATGCATTCATATGGGCACACACCAATGAGAAAACAATACTATTCACAGGAGTATTATAAAACACACTTCTGCTGTAATCTACAGACTAATTTTGGATAGCAACTGGGTTTTTTCACACTCTTAACCTCCAACAATGATTGATTTACAGTAGAAAAAATGAATGTACTATAATTTGAACTTTGGGGCAAGAAATCATTCTTGTGTTCTATTATGAGTGTCTAATAGTCGTCATCCCCTTTCCCCCCCCCCCCCCCCCCCGCAATTTGGACAGTTGTCCTGAATGTTTTTATTTGTGCATACAGGAAAGGTTGGCATTAATAACACTGAAAAGTAGAAGCATTGGGGATCAAAGGCAACCAAGAGAAATGACAGCCAGATGTTCTTTCTTGGAAATGATTTAGATGCTAAATGGATTAAGAACATTGGATATAATATACTGATGAAACAATAGGAAAATACGTGGCTGAAAGGATTGAGATTTATATTATATTATGATTTAAAAGGTACTTTTTATGATGTAGCATTGGTTTCCCACTCCAGCAAAATTATCCAGAATGTATGTACTTCAAACCTGTGTTGAAAATGTGGAAAATATAAAGGGTCAATTTATCCTGTCTGATGGACTTGTAAAAACGCCAGAAAAAAATGAATTGAAAGACATATAGTGAATTACACCCACAATGGAGGAATGGCTGGTGAAGATGCCGGAATTAGCACAGATGGCAAAAGTTAACTTGTCTGATAACAGAAAGGACAATAAGACAGGCCATATTTATTAGTGACTGGAAACCTCTCATAGACTTTTTGCTGAAAGAAGAAAAAATGAATTTATAATTTATGAGTTTGATAATTTAGAAGGGGTAGATTATGTAAAGAATGAGATTATGCTCTAACCTTAGAGGAAGAGAGGATACAATATACTTGCGACTGTAGTAGAATCTGGTGCTGAATTAAGAAATGGGGGAGTAAAGGGAATTATTAGCCTTGAATCAATGCTATGTAGGAAGCAATACAGGAGGATCCCCCTAATTTCTTCTTGGCAGGTAACTATGCTTTGGTTTGGCAAGATTTTGTCTAAGGGCAAACAAAAAACCCTGCTTTGATCTTTTAGACATGTTGTTCTTAGCTTTCCATGCCTGAGGTAATTGCTGTTAAGAAAATCTTTATAACTTTTTCCTTTCTCTTTTGTTTCTCTTTATTTCTTCGCACCCTTTCATTCACTACTTTTCTTTTTTTAAATAATGCTTATGAAAAGATTTTTTATACATAATAAGAAATAGATTCAAAGAAAAAAAACTATAGTAAATGTGGGGGGGAAAAGCAGAGAAAAAAATAGAGATAAAAAAGAAGAAAAAAGAACAGAAGAGAAGAGAAACATGAGAAAAATACAAAGAAGTGGTTTCTGATTTTATATCTGGCAGTTATTTATACAATTTTAATTGAACATCTTTGTCTAGATTACATTTATAATTCCCTTCTTCCTATAACTTGGAAAACCATAAGTCACAAAATCATTTTTAATACAGAGTTGATAAGAGATTTCCAGTCACTGATGTATGTCAATATAGTAACAATCTTTCTCTAATTAAAAAATTAGTTTAATTATCTCAGCAAGTTTTGTGAATTTTAGCAACCAGTCTTTTACAGTGGGAAATGTTGAATCTTTCCATATTTATGCATATAATAATCTGGTAGCAAGAGTTACATATGATAATAGACTCTCAGGAAGTTTTTTTAATATGCATTAATTGGTCCTATAAATCAAAGTTTTGTCTTCTACTGAATATTAATCTTTACAATTCTTTTTTTAATAAATTTTATTAAGTTTCCAAATTTTAAAAACATAAAATAAAACTTTATACATTGTTATCAACATCAAGACATCTTTTGCATCTCCTCACATTTTTCAGTATATGTATTTACTTATTCCTTTATCATTACATCTTACTCTTACTATAAAGCAATATCTTTTATCCTTACATCTCAATTTTCTCCATGGTATATTTACATATTTACATATTCCCCCATTCTTTTCCTAATTGCCATTTTCTTTTCTTTTTATTTCTAAACCACTCATACCAGGCATACCAGGCCCTATAATAAATTGAATCTTCTCTGTCTTTTATTTTCATCGTTAGCCTGTCCATCTCTATACAATATATTATTTTTTTTATAACCATGCCTTCCGGTGAAACCCTTTTTTCCTTCCAGAGTTGTGTGTACGAAATCCTTGCAGCTGTTAATATATGTAACATAATATATCTATCTGTTTTATTGCATTTTTGTGTTATTATACCTAATAAAAAAGTTTCCGGATTAAATTCAATTTTCTGATTCGTAATTTCTTTTATCCATTGTCTAATCGTATTCCAATATTTTTTCACTTCCTGGCATGTCCACCAGGTATGAAAATAAGTGCCTTTTTCTTTTCCACATTTCCAACAATTTGGGTCTGAGTTACATTTTTACCAATCTAGCAGGAGGAAGGTGCCTTCTGTAGAACATTTTGTATTGATTTTCCTTGTATGCTGTGGATGTAATTAGTTTGTAATTTGATCCCCACATTCTCTCCCAATTTTTCAGGTCTATATTTTGGCCAACATTTTTTGCCCATACCACCATCATCTCTTTGACCACCTCCTCTTCCATTTTAAAATCTGGTAGAAAGTTATATATTCTTGAAATCATTTTCTTTTCCATTTCTTGTAGAATTTTATCTAATTGATGCTTTTCCATGCAGAAACCAAATTGTTCTTTGTCCTTCTAATATCTTGCCTGAATTTGCATGTATGGCCACCAATCTATCTTTATATTTTGTTGCTGTAATTCTTGTCTCATTTTTAATCTTTCTTGTGTATCTAATAGGTCTTTGTAATTCCTCTTTTTCCCCAGATCCATTGCATTTGGGTAGATTTGTACTTCCATAGTTGACAACCAGTTCAATATTTTAGTATAATGATCCTTTTAAATCTTGTTCCATGTCCGAATTAATCTCTAATCATGTGTCTCTGAAAATATGCATGCTGTTTACATTTCCCAACCCATAGGAAACTATGCCACCCTCTCTGCAAGTCGTGACCCTCTATCGACAATGCTCTTCTATTTTCCAGGTTGATCCAATCTTTAATCCATACCATAGCCGCAGCCTGATAATACATTTCCAAGTCAGGGAGTCCAAAGCCACCCCTTTCTCTTTTGTCCTGTAACAATTTCATTTTTATCCTAGCTTTTTTTCCATCTCAAACAAATTTACTTATTATTCGATCTAATTCTCTAAAAAAGATTTTATCCAATCTTATTGGTACAGTTTGAAAAAGATATAGCATTTTTGGTAGGGTAGACATTTTAATTCCCACAATTTTCCCCAGTAGTGATAGCTGTAATTTCCCCCACATTTCCAATTCTTTTTTTGATTTGTATTATTAGTCATAGTTATCTTTTTTGATTGAAGAACATCTTGCTGTTAACCAAATGCCTAAATATTTTACCTTTTTCACACTTTGCATCCCCAATTTTCCTTCTAATTTTTTCTTTTTTGCTTATCTTTTAAGTTTTTAGTCAATAATTTTGTTTTGTTTTTATTAATCTTAAGGCCTGCGACCTTGCCAAATTCCTCTATTTCCTTTATTAATTTTACTCCCGTATCCTCTGGGTCTTCACAAAAAAATACTATATCATCGGCAAATGCCTGTACCTTATAATGCTCCTTTTTAATTAAAGCCCCTTTGATTTCTACATTTTTCCTAATATTTTCCAATAAGTTTTCTAAGGTAAGAATAAAGAGAAGGGGTGACAGTGGGCATCCCTGCCTTACTCTCTTGTTGATCTTGAATGTTTCCGTTCAGTCACCGTTCATTATTACGCTGGCCGTCTGTGTCATATAAATTGTTGAAATCAATTTAATAAATTTATTGCCAAATTGCATGCTTTTTAATTGTTGTATTATGAACTGCCAATTAACATTGTCAAATGCCTTTTGTGCATCAAGGAAGACTATTGCCAATTGTTTTCCTGGGTTTGCTTCATAATATTCTATTATATTCAATACCATTCTGGTATTATTTTAATTTGTCTATTCGGTAAGAATCCGTTTTGGTGGCTATGAATGATCTAATTAAGGGTTTTTTTCAATCTTTCTGCCATTATACATACATAAATATAAATATTTTATAATTAACATTTAAAAGGGATATGGGCCTATAATTTGAATTAATTGATGGTCCGAATCTTCTTTTGGGATCAGTGTTATGTATGTCTTCCCCCATGACTTTTTGCTAATTTTGCTGTCGTCAGTACCTCATTGTAGAGTTCTAATAATTGCATTTCTAATTTTTCTTGGAGCGTTTTATACAGTTCCCCTGGGAGACCATCCGGTCCCAGTGTCTTATTGTTTTTCTGTTTCAGGATTGCCTCTTGCAGTTCTCTTAATGTTATTTCCCTGTTTATCTCTTCTTTATCCTCTTCTGGGATCACAGGTAGCCCTTTTCCTTCTAAGTAATGTTGGATATTTCCCTCTGGTACGTCTTCCCTACTATATAGTTCCTCAAAAAAACTTTTAACAATATGTTTTTTCTTTTCAGTTTGATGTTGTAGCGTACCATCAGCATCCTTCAATTGTTGGATTGCTCTTTTTTCTTTTTCTTTCTTAAGCCTATAGGCTAGCCACTTTCTCAGCTTATTCGTGTGTTCAAAATAATTCTGTTTTATCTTTTTCATGTCCTATAACCATTCATCTTGTGCTGACATGTTCAATTTATGTCTAATCATTATCCTCTCTGTATTTGCTGTCTTATTATGTGGTGTTTTTTCTAGCGTTTTTCTAACTCCTTAAGAGTATCTAGTAGTTTAGATTGTTCTACTTTTTTCCCCTTATATCTACGTGTATTATATGAAATTGCTAGGCCCCTTATATATGCTTTAGTCGTGTCCCATAGGTTTGGAATTGATGTTTGTTGTTTTTTGTTTTCCTTCAGAAAGAACTCCAATTCTTTTTCCATCATCTTAACATATTCTTTTTCTTTTAGGATCTCCTTGTTTAGCATCCATCTTGTTTTTTCCCCAATCCTTTCCAACTTATTTTAATGGGATTATGGTCCGCCCATGTGTTAGATTCAATTTCTTTTTCTTTTATATTATGTTCCATTTCCCCATTTGTCCATAACATATCCAATCTTGACCATGATGTGTGTGGTGCTGAATAGTAAGTATACCGTTTTTTGTCTGGATTTCTTTCTCTCCATATATCTTTTAATCCTAATTCTTCCGCCATTTGATAAAATACTTTTGGTAATGTTTTCCTTTTCCGTTTTTTCCCTAGATTTTCATTATTGTAGTCTTTTCCTAAATTTGCTATTGCATTGAAATCACCTAGCAGACATATGTTCTCATATTCCTCTTTTTTTCCTCTTAATTTGTGAATTTAAACCGTTGATGTTAATGGAAATCAATTTGATTTCTTCCGCCATCTTACTCTGTAGTTGTTTCTTGTTGAAGCTTATTTGCTCTCGTTTGGTGTCTTGTTCTT